TCCAGGAGTGGATGAATCCGGCTTGAGGAAGAAGAAGAATATTTACAAGTTATTTTACATAAAAATTTCCTTAAAAATATTCCTGATAATAATACATCGCAAATTGTATGGAAGATGTGAAGATGCCATAAGATGACTCATAGTTTGGATTCAGGCAAGGGTTGGGTACCAGGGAAGCACCACCCAAGTAGCATCTATCTGACTTCGAACTAAATCTGACCTGAAGCGACGTCAGACTTTGTGCAAATTTAGGTCGGGTGCTGGTGATACGACCGGTGACGTCGCTTTCCTATTAAAAGCGACGTTGTTGGATCCGAGTCGGTAAATCCAACGATCTGTCGACGTACAAAATAACAACGTACCATTTTTATTAATTTCCCAACGTCGCGTCGTTCCCACGTTGGCTTGCACGACGTACATATACTTGAACTAGCCCGACGTCTACCCGTAGTCCGAATAGGATACGTCTCACTGATAATCCCTAAAGTAACGTCCAATTATATTTTGTTGTATTTTATGTTCATATTTATAACCTAATTTACGTATCTCTATTTACGTCCGTAAATACAACCCATTAAGTAGCATTTGCGGCCTAATGAACATCATGAACATAACCTAATAAAAAGTTTTTGTAAACAAACTTAATTTTTTTTATTATGCCTAAAAAACACTAAAAAGGCATTTAGACATTCATCTACATTTTACAGAAAGAGATCGAGGCTTTTGTAAAATAATAATAGTAGCAGTGATATCTTGCCTTCACCCACGAATGTTTTTTATTCGGAAGAGATGCTGTATTACACTGGTGCATCTTAATTTGATTTTTAAGCTTAGGAAACCAGCAGACTCCATCCTCCTCCCACATGTGAGGTACTGGTTCCAATTCTTTTAAATTTTGTATATATACTATCTTAAAAATGTGGCTGTCCATTTTTTAAGGAGAAAACAAAAACTAAAATATAGTTGACAAAAGTTGCACAAATCCACAAATCACTGATACGCAAAGTGAGGTTACGATTGCCGGTCATCCGGTTTGATGACTTCGGTCGTGTGAGACGACTTATGTTGGAGACCCGGTCGGAATTGGTATATTGGTAGTTCATATTAAGTCGGACACAGAAATCCGCCATTCTTAACAAGTATCCGATTGTCAGCCATTTTAAAATCGTTTATTGTTTTTTAAAATTTATATTCACATTCCGATTTCTAGTAGAATAATATTGATAAGGTTGATTTTGGGGGGAACCACAGTACAATTTTATGATTAAACCATCTAGGAAATAAAAAAAATATTTTGCGAGTTACTTTTTTATAGATATTTTTATTTCATAAATCTACCTAATTTTGAAGGCGCCTGTTGTTTTCCGGAGTATTTTAATCAGATATATCAAAAAAGTGACTTCCGTTGACAAAACTGATGTCTGGATTAATGATTCAGAATTATTATAATATGAAATTAGGTAGGCACTTATATTTATATTCGAGGAGTTATTATGAATCCATTTGTAATTAGGTAGTTTGGTTAGATTTTTATGTATTCTTGGTAGCGAATATGAAGCCAAAAGTAATGTAAGTGCTTAGCGACGAATTTTAAGTGACTAAAATCCAACGTAATATGACGTTGGTAATTGGTAGAATTACATTCTCTATTAGGTCAGATACCGACGTCGAGGCGACCCGAATCTGTATTCCCCATTTAAGTGCAAATACGGGTCGTCAGGCGGTTGAACCGACGTTGGTACCCGACGTCTCCCTGAAAAAGCTCATGTATCAAATGTGCACGATCCATGTGTGTCAACTGCAGATCCTATGTTAGCATGAAGTGTATTCGAAAAAGTTATGTACAGGGTGGTCGAAATTGGTCTGTTTTAACAGAGAAAACCTATTTCCCGACTAGATAGAGCAAAACCGACATAGATGTCAGGGTTTCTCAGACACGTTTAATGGCGAAAACCACCTGTTGATATTTTCACTGCCAACTGAGATGCGGGGTCTTTTTGAATTTTTTACCATTTGGAAAATTGCCCTTAACTTTTGTATTTCGCGGGATAATAAAATTCTGTAAAAACGTTCTTAAGGCACTTTTTTAAGCACTATCCAGTGGCGTAGTCAGTTTTTTTCTATACATGCTCTTTTTGTCAGAAATAATAAAAAATATAATTTTTTAAATGGAAATCATAGTGGGCTATGAACTTAAAAAAATGCTGGCGTTTAACCCTTTTCAACGATGTAAAGCTACGTGTATTTATTTCTAAGAATGAGAGAAATATTAGGTTTTTTATCTTTGTATCGAAGTGGGCATTGATTTTGTGTTAACTTAGTTGCCTAATTATTTTTTATCACAATTTAATATTCTATATTATTATTTATCTGCATAACTAAAGACTGAAAAGGTAAATCAACATTCTATATTAGTACTACTATTTACAATGAAAACGCCAGGGTTACAACTGCACTATTAAATGGAGATTTTAGGGAGAATTTGATTGGAACAAGAGGCCCCACATCTAGGCCTGCTAGGTCCTGTAATTTAAGTCCTTTCAACTTTTTTATAGGGGAAATTAAAAGAATTTATATATGTATAAGGAAAGAACCATTGGGACGAGAGGACGAGAGAAGAATTGCAGAAGGCTACTAGGCAAGCTTTTAAACTTATTATACCAGTTCGCCTAATAAATCGTTGTAACTCTGTGCGCAAAAGATGTTTATTGTGTATTCAATAAGGAGGTGCTCAGTTTGAACATTTTTAATGATTTTTTTAGAAAACTATATTCGTCACTCAAAAAATACGTTTTTTTAGTTTTGTTCTTTATTTATTATATCAATTTCAATTGTAATTACTAATACTAATAATACATAATGTTAATTTACCTTTTCAAAAGTCTTTAATTAAGCAGATAAATTAATAATAATATAGAATATTAAATTGTGATAAAAAACAATTAGGCAAATAGGTCAACACAAATTCAAGGCCCGCTTGGATAAAAAGACGAAAAACCTAAATTTCTCTCACTCTTAGAAATAGATACCCATAACTTTATATCGTTGGAAAGGATTAAACGCCAGCATTTTTTTAAGTTAATAGCCAACTATGATTTCCATTTAAAAAATTATATTTTTTATTATTTCTCATAAAAAGAGCAAGCATAGAAAAAAACTGACTACGTCACTGGGTTGTGTTTAAGAAAGTGCCTTAAGAACGTCTTTACAGAATTTTATTATTCCGCGAAATAAAAAAGTTAAAAATGTTTATAAAATTTTATAAAATATCTTGGGATCCATCGGACCCCAGAACGCCATAAACGGTACAAAAATTTCACCACGCCAGTTCAGGGTTAAATAGCCACGTGTATTTGGCACAAAACAAATTCATATGCCATCTGAATTATTTAGGATTTTTTTTCTATGTCGGTTTTTCTAGCTTACACTATCTTGCACAATTCACGTCACAGTTCACGTCACGAACGCTTATAGCATATTTGTAATTACAGTGGGTAGTTGGGACCTTTGGTGTTACAAAAGCAAAATAAAACACTAATTCACTACAATACACCAAAACACTGTACATTTTACACTTTTTGCATTGTTAAAAGTAAAGTGTTTTTGATGTATTGTCGCGAATTAGTATTTTATTTTGCTTGTTTGTATTAATTGATTTCCTGAGGCAAAATTTCCTCCCCAATTTCTAGGGGCAAATATAACAAGCACTACGAATCTCAAAGAGAAAGTAAAAACCCAAACAACAAAAGCATCAATTATATCAGGATATTTAAGGGATATAATTTGGCGAAATAAATATATGAGCGTCAGAAGCAAAGTTAGAATTTATAAGGCTTTCATGAGACCGGTTATGACATATGCGATAGAGACTAGAGCAGAGAACACAACAACAAAACGGCTCCTAAGAACAACAGCAATGTGAACACTTAGATCAATTACAGGATATACCTTATATGACCGGCAAAGAAGTGAGGATATAAGAGAAACATGTGAAGTACAGGACGTAGTAAGATGGGCAAGAACTAGGAGAAGAGACTGGAGAGACCATGTGGACAGGATGCCAAACGACTGGTTAGCGAAAATTGCTAAGGAGAAAAGACCCATCATGCATCGACCGCCGGGACGACCACCTACCTATAATATGGTATGAAAGCTGGTCTTCATCATCCCAACTGTTCTTAGGGAACCATTGAAGAAAACACAGGACTTGGTCCTAACGTACGAAGAAGAAGAAGAAGAAGTATTAATTGATGTCCACTACAGATCGGGGACCTGTACATACATTATAGAATATAAATCTATCAGAAAATACTGATAGAAAAACTATTCAACAGGAAAATGTGTCTCATATACTAACGAATTATGCAGAGATAACATCATCTTTATAATTAAACTATAAGTGATAATAATAATTTATAATATGATCAAAATAAATAATTATTGAATATATTTTCTCTCGATTATCTTCTACATTAATAAATATCATTGAAAATTCAAAGTTTGTGTCTATTTTTTTTTCCTTTACAACAAAATAAAAATAGTTTTGGTTAAGAAAAAAGGAAAAGCAGTTGTAATACATTCATTCTATTTTATATTTTTCTCCTAATCTTTTAATGCCAAGAGTTTTAAAATATTTGGGATTTCAAGAAAACCTCAACGATAATACAGACAATAATAAATCAAGCAAAATAAAAATAAATGTTGAAAATAATATTATTTATTTCGTCCTGTGTCATATTTACAACTATATTCTCTCCAGACTAGGGGAAAAATAAGAAAATAACCACTCAGCATGCACGCAACACGTCTCTTTATCCGCACAGAGCAGAGCAAAACAACAATAAAGTTTGTCCATTCACGCGATCCTACCCAAACTTAACCGTTTTATATGCCTGTTACCGACAGTAATAGGATTATAAAAACATAGAAAAAGTATTTTTATAAAAGGTACTTAACTGCTTTTTTAAATAGTCTAACTAGAGTTATATTTTTGTTTTCAGTTTGGACAGAGATCAACCATTCACATTCCAACTGGGAGTTGGACAAGTGATCAAGGGATGGGACCAAGGTCTGCTCGACATGTGCGTAGGAGAAAAAAGAAAACTTACTATTCCACCCTCTCTTGGTTATGGCGATAGAGGAGCTGGTAATGTTATCCCAGGAAAAGCAACATTGACATTTGAGGTACTTAGTTGATTTTATTTCTGTTTTGATAAGTTAATTAACCGCTTAGCCATTTAAATTTCTTATTAAACTTTTGACAGAAGAACATTTAAGGTAACTTGTTAGCATTTAAACTAGGTCTATTATATAATATATTGTTTAATTTACACCAAAACTACTATTAAAATATTTTAAATATCTGACTTGATGTTGCTTTGGAAAGCTTATCCCATCAATAATAGTAGAATGTAAAAATATGTCAAGTCTCGCAACACAATTCTTCCACTGTAAAAAGTTGTGAGGTCTCGTCTCATGTAAAACCAAGTCAATTTATTTTATTGAGTCTCTCTTAAGCACCTATTTAGCAATTTTGTTATAAATTGTTGGTATCAATATTAGTCATCTTTATTTCTGTAATAATTATAATTACTTGGCAATTGCACAGCACCATAATTGTAAAAGAATAATAATTTACCATCTCGATTACTAAGTAAATCTAAACAGTGTCCTTAAAAATAAAGTTTTTAATTAGAATAGAATATCATATCGTGCAGCGTATTCTGGAGCGTCTAGAGAGAAATGATTTCTATACTTTTTTTTGCTCAGATCAAAATTAACCGAGATAGGGTCACTAGAAGCTAGAGGATGACAGTAGAAATTTAAAAAAATATATATAAGTTGCTGAAAAATTCATATATTTAACATTTTTATTCAATTTGTTTGGAAAATTATAAATTTCAGTTAAGTTTTTTTTTGAATTCACCCCGAGAAGGGGTGAAAAATATAAACAAAAAGTGTTTTTTCCAAATTTCAGAGAAATGGTAAGGACTTTTGAAAAAACTGTTTCAGTAAAAGTTGTCTCCTAGCTTCTAGCTACCCTATCTCGTTTCAGTTTGATTTGAGAAGAAAAAGTAGGTATATACAGAGAAGACCAGGCTACTAGTAACATAGCAACTTGCCGGACGAATTTACGCTTACCCGATTGCGTTTGTACTTATTCACTGCCGGCTAGTCGGCTGGTCAAGCAGCAGGCAGTTGCAGTTGTGCTTGGACGGGTCGATCGTGACCATAGACTTAAAATAAAATATAGACTACACTATTTACATCTCAACGCGGACAAACAACCTTTTTTGTACACATGTTTACTTCTGGGTACAGTCGACCGAGCTTTCCTCATCCAGCCTATGTTGTCACGTCTTTAATATTATCAATATTTTTTTTCTTGTTATACACATATATTGAGATATTAATACTACAGTTTAATAAAGTAGGTTTTAATATTCCATAGATGTATTAAATAGTCCTTATACTACTAAATTATAAGTCGGATACTGTTTAATAAGGATAAGTTCTTTACAATATGACAACACCGATTAGAGGCGAGGGAGCCTATTCATTCATTTATTACCTTGTAGTACGTGTCGCACGTGTGCGGTAAAGCTTTGTTGCCGCTATCTCCCCGGCTGTATTAACGCATTTTCTTAGCTTGTAGTGCTTAAGTGTTTATTTTATTGACTTTTTCTGTTCAAGAACTATAAAATATGGTTCGCCAGTGCCAAATTTGCAAGAAATTTGACTTAAATAATCCATTTAAGTCTTGAAACGACTTTTGACCGGTAGGCAACTCTCAATTTACCCATTGGGAGTCAGTGGCGTTGTTGTAGAAAGGCGCTTATTTAGATAATATTTTAGTAAAATGTAAAATCTGAATTTTTTCTCTTACATTACATTATTTACTTACTTACATTGTAACAAAATCATAATTATAACCCTGTTAATAATTAATAATGTTTTTATTAAAAATATATTCCGGTTTATTCTAAAATTATCTTCAGAATCTAAAATAACATACAAGAATTTTAAAATGATATTACATTATGAAACAATATTTTTTAATATACCGGGTCGTCTCAAAAGTGGCTAACCCTATTTTTTTTTATTTTTTCAGATAAAAAACAGATTTGTATGTTAGTAGGTATATGACATAAATTAGGATTTATTGACCTATGCAATTGTTTTTGGTCTCTTCCTGTTTCACCGAAATGATTACATCTTTTGATTTTTAAAGGCACCCTCGGTATATTGCTACTTTATTCGATAAAAATGACACTCTGAATAGAATGACATATCATATGTCAACTTTTGACATTGTCGCTTAAAAACATATCCTATTTTAAATTTCAATCCAGTTTTTTTCAATCCACTAAGTTTTAATCAAGGAGCCTTGGAAAAATAGTTTTGATCGTCTAATAGGTTTCGTGTCTTGTCTAGGCCGGTTAAAAGATGTACAAATCGTATTTTTAATCATACATATGTCAATTTTTTCAAATGGACCAAGGTGACTCATTAGCATATTTGGAAAAAGCATTTTTTATGAATATATTGATACCACACACTTGGTATTTCGAGTCAAATTGTCGTTATGAACCGCGTGTTACAATTACAATTAAACCATATGCGAAAATGTCAAAAGTTGACATATGATATGTCATTCTATTCAGAGTGTCATTTTCTATCGAATAAAGTAAAAATATACCGAGGGTGCCGTTTAAAAATTAAAACTTATAGTCATTTCCGGTGAAACAGAAAGTGACCAAAAACAATTGAATGCGTCAATCAATCCTAATTTATTTCATATACTAACATACTAAATCTTGTTTTTTTATTTGAAAATATAAAAAAATTATGGGGATGAGCCACTTTTGAGACGCACCCGGTATAATAAAGACAGTACCGAGTTAAATAAATATAGTTTTTATTTTATCCACTTCCTATCACCTTCCTTGCTTTAATGGAACAGATTTATGTTTTCTTTAATTTACATAATAAGACATCACTTAACCAGAAAAAAAATTACAACAATCATATTTTTTTCTCTCCCTGTCGCCGATTCTATTATATCTGTGGAATAGATCCTGTTTTGATTAATATTAGGGGTTGTAAATGTTTGACTAAAATTAATAATTTATTATTAATTTCAAAAATTACCTAATTTCGATTATAAAATTTCTTCTATAACGTGTATTTTATTATTTTTATCCTTTTGCTACTAAATTGTTTTTCTAAACTTTTATTTAAAAAACCTGTCCTAAATCTTAATAAAATATAAAAAAGTTTAAATACGATATATTTTTAATTTAATTATAGCTTCATTAAAATAAAAAAATTACCCGGCTATGATACGGAGAGTTCAGGTGTACTTGAGAAACGAAAGACAGTGTTGTGTTTCTCGGCAGAGTCGTCAGGGAACGACCGTTACGACAGAGACAACCTATCTATCGCTGGTGTCGCACTCGTTATAACCTAAAACGATAACACAACAATAACAAGACAGTGTCTGACCGCATGTTCCAGCTATTTATGAATGAGATGCTCAGTCTATATTTTATTTTAAGTCTATGGTCGTGACAGACTAGGAATACGAATCGAGGAGTGCCGAGCATTTATTATTTTCATTTTAAGTGTTTACCTTCACTTAAGGTAACATTTAAAATAAAAATACTTAAATATTTATTATTATTAGAGTGTGTTTACGAGCCAAAACTAAAAATAAATAAATTCTCTAAACCCAAAACTCATTTCCAAAATTAAAAAATACCTCAATAAAATAAAAAAAACTAAAATATTACACTAAATTAAAAAAAGTTATAACAAGTGTTCAAAAAGACCACCTTCTTGTGTTAGACAGAAGCCTAGGCGGTCGTAAAATCCCCGTCTGACATTGGCTAACATATTAGGGCTAATAGTTTGGAAAGCCTCTCGTATTTTTATTTAAAGCTCATCCAGATTATTAGCCCTATTATGACCATACACTTTGGATTTTACATAACCCCACAAAAAGAAATCATTGGGAGAAAGATCTGGTGATCTAGCGGGCCACAAAATAGTTCCATGTCCACTAATTGAACGGTTGGGAAAAGTATTGTTCAAATATCCTTGAACAATACAGGCATTGTGGGCAGGGCAACCATCTTGTTGAAACCAGACATTGTAGAATCTTTCTCCCAATAACTCACGAATTCTAGGCACAATCTGCTGTTGTAACAAGTCCAAATACTTTTCAACAGTTAAATTACCCTCTATAAAAATGGACCAATCATATGCTCCCCTACAAAACCACCCCAAACATTTAGCTTTTGAGGATATTGCGTGCGTACCTCAAAATATTTGTGCAAATTTTCCCGAGACCAATATCGTACTTGTGTAGGGTTATGACGACTCAATAACTGAAAACTTGATTCGTCGGTGAAAACTATACGCCGAATAAAGTTTTCATCTAAATTGGCCTTTTCCATTACAGATTCACAAAACGCCATACGCCGAAATTGGTCTTCATGGAAAATTTCTTGAGTTTTGCGCGCTTTATACGATGGGTATCCATTCTTTTTAAAGACTCTTTTAACCGTGCTAGGTGAAGAATCTGTTACCTCAACAATTTGATTACTTGAAAACGTGGGATTTTGATCCGCGGTAGAACAAATGAACACTTGCTTTAACTCCTGTTCTTCATTAATCAACACATCAGGCTTTTTGTGTTTTTGTGGGGACACGCACCCATGTGTTTCAAAATTATTAATAACTCTTGATATAGTAGGTGGTAAAGATGGAATTGGCCTATCTGCAAAAGTTTGTGGAAAAATTGTTTGTATATTCCGATAAGACCTATTTTGGAAATACCATTTTACAATTTGAATTTTCTCACGAACTTCGTAAACATCAATTATTTTACTTAAAAATAAATTTTACACGAGAGGTATAGCGAGAATCTATGTATTCGTTTTGGTTATTAAAACACAAATAAATACAAATTCTGAAACATTCTTATCACATATCTACCTATTTTTATTTTATCGCATTTTTTCGCCTGCTTTTTATCCGGCGGACGGGTATACGCTAATTCGTCCGGTTCTGCCTATGTTACTACTACGGTGGTCCGGTCTGTATACCATCTTTATGTAAAATTGAACGCTCTATAACTTTTATTCGAACTTTTTTTCTAGTCCTTCTTACCGTTCCTCCGAAATTTGGAAAAAATAATATTATTTATTTATTTCATATACCCCCTTCTCAGTGGTGAACTTAAAAATTCTTTCAAAATTCGTTTTTAAATCTTTCAAAGTAACTTATATCAAAAATTCAAATTTTTGTCAAAACTTTGTATTTGAAACACCAAATTGTTTTTTCTAATTTCAATACAGATTAGTCGAACATAGTTAAAATTTCGATTTCTCAAAAATTGTAAATTTTCGGTAGAAAAAATTCTTGACCAAATTTGTACACTATTATAAAACACTCTGTATACGAGAATTCGCTAAATATATTTTCGAAAACCACATAGCATCTTAATCACAATAGATGCGTCTAAAACCTGGTCCAAACCGCATCCCAAAATCGGAGAGAGAAAAGAAGAGCATTTATTGTTTACAATCCCACAATTTTGCGGATGCGCGGGATTGATTGCTTTAATCCCGTGGGTTTGCGGGATTGAGATTTTGGTACTGGATTGCATTCCCTATTACGATATATTCCAATGTATTCGGATGTTTTTTGGCAATTGATTGCCCTTCCTCAATTACCAAAACTAACTATTAATTTTTGTAGGTCGAACTCATGAATATCGGAGATTCACCACCAACAACCAATGTGTTCAAAGAAATCGATGCCAACCAGGACAACCAGCTAAGTCGCGACGAAGTAAGCGGCTTTGTAAATGTTTTTCTAACTTTTGCTTGGGTTCGACTAAAGAAATAAGCCAAGAATAACTGTTTGAAGCCTTTTAACTAACACGTCACACAGTACTATTAACACCAACACCTGCTTTTCTCATCTTATTTACATAGAACATACTTCAAATCATAACGATTTTTAAATTCATTGTTCAAACATTGTCAACATTGTCAACATAAATTTGTTATTTTTTTATATAACTCTTTATCGCTTCTTTTATAGCTAAACGAAACACTAGTTCACCCAAATACTTAACTTTGTAGAGATGAACAATGAATGCACGAACTGTTTATTTGAATAGGTATTAAAAATAATCTAAGAAAAAAAATATTGTCTCGAAAATTAAATAGTGTGGTGTAGTTTTGGCCTGTTGTGGTGGATTAGTGTATTATCTTGCTCTTGTAACGTCAAAAGCTTCAATTTCAACTGTATTTGTATTGTTGATCAATTTTCTAACATCATCATCATTTTCAGCTTATTCAACCATTTCCAATTATGGTGTCAACTCCCTCACATACTCTCTTTGTTGTCTATTGTTGGCTATGCGGGCCCAAGTTGTCCCTGCTAATTTTCTAATATCATGGTCCCATTTTAGGTTGGTCTTCTTATAGGTCTCTTAATTCCACGTGGGTACCATGCTGTAATTTTTGTAGTCCATCTGTCCCTTCTTCTTGCCAGGTATCCTGCCCATTGCCATTTGAGGTATTTAACTCTATGGATGACATCTATTACCTAGGTCTTGTCGCATCCACTTTATTCTTTTACGGTCTTTCTTGATTATTTCTAGTAGCGATGGGAACTATCGAATGAATTAGACTATCGAATGGTTACTGAATGAATGATTTTATTCGAATAAAATAATTCATTCATTTGTATACTAAAGCATATGTGACAACCTCGCCGTGCGACTAAATGGTTATCGTTGAGCCACGACTATCGAATGCTTTTGATAAATGAAATTTAGTATTCGTTTGATTTTTGTGTGCGTCAGTGCATTATTAGTTCTTTCAAATTTGTATAACTTCGCCTTCTAAATACTGTGCTATTTTTGCGTTTATTAAAATATTTAAAATACTAAAATAGTAGTGTTTTTTTTTTAATTGACGATTGTGTGCGTGTGCAGGTGGTCAAAATTTTACCGAAAATTTGTTTGATTTTCCATACAATGTGACAATCCATCTATCAATTATTTAATTTTATATGGTATATGGTCTATTTTTTTAATGGGAAATTTTGAGAAGTAGCAATTTTTAAGAGAGATGAGGTGAACTTACAATTAATTTTAAAAATACATATGTATTTGTATTTTAGATGTTTTAATAATATGAATTAGTTGAACTTAATAATCATATTTAAGAGAGATAAGAAAGATGAGAAAATTAAATTGATTGATTAAAGTTACACGTGCCAATTAAAAAAAAAAGTTAACGATATTTGTATTTTGTTTATGCTAATTCTCTTACATGTAGTTTTTTGCGAAGAAATATTTCATTTATTTTTTAAAGTAAATGCCAGTAAAATCAAATATTATGTTTAAATAGTAATACAAAGTAATAAAAAGTAATATATATATATAATTTTGATTTCTAATTTTTTATTTATATTTTCCTTCCGAGAATTAATAAATGTTTATATTTCATGCTTTTAAAATTTGTTGTTAATATAACAAATTAGTTCTGTAATTATTATTATTTAATAAACCAATATAACAAATTAGTTCTGTAATAATTATTATTTAATAAACCAACGTTGCCAAAAAATTTACAGACTATATTATTTTTAAATAGGATCTAATATAAATAATTTTGACTTCTAATTTGTTGTTTATATTTTGCTACTACTGAAAAAAAATGTTTATATTAAATGATTTTTAATTTTGGTGTTAATAGCTATGACAAATTATTACTCTTATTATTATTTATTAAACCAGTTTTGCTTAAAAACATTAAAAATAATTTTCCTACATCCAAAATAGAAAGTATTATTGCAGTGTAACAACAGAATATTAATAAAAAAATGCAAAATATATAGTCATACTATCCCTAACTAACTATAATGCTAAAGAATAATATTCTTTGCTAATACCAACTAATATGAATATATGGCAACAGCGCCGTTCATAATGTATTTTCTGTGTAAATACTAGCACCTCAATAAAAAAAAATGTGTCCTTATCTTTATCTGACTCCGCAAAAAATCAAAGATGCCGGCTTCTTTCATACCATTGCCACCGACCGCTGTCGGGTTTCTAGGAAAGAAACCTACGTCGCCAGGCGACAATTAAAATCCAATTTATATTTTATTATAATCGATCCTCACGAATAAATGAATTTTACAAATGAATGAATTTTATAAATGAATGGTTTTTGCTGCCGAAGTACTAGAATACAATATTTCAAAGCAGATGACGCATCTACTCGATAATTTTTATTCGAATAGTTTTCGACGAATGTTTTCTTACTAGCTATCGAATTATTCGAATGAATTACAACTATCGAATGTTTCGATAGTATTCATTCGATAGTTCCCACTACTAATTTCTAGCATATTTCGTTCCATTGATATACGACCTGCAGTGTCTTTATGATGTCCGTTTTAACTGTCCAGGTTTCGCATGTATAGATTATGACTGGTAGTGCACAATGTTTTCTTCTTTAGATAGAGTGGCATTCTAGATTTCAATATGATTGAGTTTCTTCCATAAGTACTCTATACTAACTTAATTCTTTTGTTGATTTCTGATAGTAGATATCCCGAGCTGTGTATTAGTTGTCCCAAATATATATATTCTTCTAGTATTTCCAGTATTGTGTTATTTAATAGAATGTCTTTTTTTTCGCTGGTTCGTTGTACATTATTTTAGTTTTTGCTAAATTAATGTTGAGACCCACTTTATTGCTGGCTGTATTTAGTTCATTAATTTGTATTTTTAGTTCTTCAGGACTACTCATCAACGAATCTTAGATGGTTAAGATATTCTCCATCTATTTTTAATCCTTTGTTGGTCCAGTCCAGTTGACGGAAGATTTCTTCTAATGTTGCTGTAAACAGCTTTGGGGATATCGCGTCTTCCTGTCGTACTCCTTTGCCAGTTGGGAACTCTGGAATTGTTTTATGTATCGTTACTCATGCTCTGGGTTTTATGCATATATTGGCGAAAGTTTCTATAGTATAAGGCCTGTCAATTTTCGGCCAATTTTCTATATCCTCTCATATATCTTCTTTAAGATTAAAAGGGGTTACTAAAATTGTGTTAGTAAATTAATGAATGGATTTATAAAATATTCAAGCTTCATAATTTATAACATAAGAACTTAATAGATATGTATGCACGATTTAATATGAATTATTAATAGGTATTCATAACTTTGTAACTAATTTTTAACATGTATTTAAGCTAAGTTCAGTAATGTGTAGGCCTAAGTTCCTTAAGGCAACATTTTCAATATACAGTGTGAGTTTTAAATAAGTGAAAATATTTCTAGAGGTAGTATATCCTAGTAGTCTTATCCTAGCGTGTTAAAAGATTTGCCAATTTTTATTTTAACCTTGACTCATTTTTTTTCAAATGGAACGAGGATGGCTCATATTAGAATATTTCGAAAAAGAATTTTTTTACGAATAATTTGTTTGACACTTGGTATTTTAAGTCAATTTTTTTCATATGATATGTCATTGTATTTAGAATGTCATTTTCTATCAAATGTTCGTGTTTTTTTTATCTAAAAAAAATAAAAAGTTATAGAGGTGAGCCTTTTGAGAAACACCCAGTATAACCATTGGTTTTGGATGTAAAATTAATTTGTCAGAATATAAAGTTGGTTAAAAACGACGTTTATTTATCTCACAAAATACACGATGTTTCAGTTGAAATAATAGACAAAAAATATATAAGACAGAGTTTTGACTCACTCCGTTTATATCATGCAATAGTCGAATAATTTGTGACAAATGGTTATAGGATTGATTTTATGAAAGCTTATATAAAGTTTTAAAAGAATCTAATCCTGCTAACTTTCTTAATTTACAATTTTCAGTATCTCATTATCAAATACCACTTTTTACACATGTAAAGGCTATTCCGATACATAATCTAAAAATTCTAAAATAACAAAATTACGAAACTACGCAGAAAATCACTTTCTTCATTCAGCTAAAAGTAGCATGTGTAATACACATTGGTTTATTAACTTGTAATCGCAATCTGTTCTTTTCCTTGCACATAAATCTTCTTTTACTTTGTTCCTTCTCGTTTACATCAATTACAGTAACAGTTGTAGCATTGACACGATCCGCATAATGCATTGATTCATCTATTCCGAATTGCATAATAGTAATTATGCTTCACACTGCAACAAATTTCGAATAGTTTTCTCTCTTCGGGTGAAAACACGGAGAAAGTGTTTTGCATACGGTTTTGACTCATTAAGTTGTTTATCAGTTATTCGAGTCTTGGTTTATTTTCTTAGCCTTCGTGAATTCTCAGTGGATTAAAGTTAGATAAACAATATATCGGTATCTATTTAGGTTTTATTTTTTTTTTGGTCTCGTTTTGGTCTCGTCCATATACCTCGTAAACGTTCTATAGTTATTTTCAATTGAAAACTGCTCTAGAACTATCTAGGTATACTAGGTATATACCTGATGCGTCTCAAAAGTGGCTCACCCCTATAACTTTTTTCTTTTTTCAGATATAAAAACAAGATTTGGTATGATAGTATATAACATAAACTAAGATTGATTGATAAGTAAGTTAGAGGGATGAGTCACTTTTGAGACGCACCTGGTATATGAGGTATATATTTCCCTCCATTTTGAAAGACTTTGTTACTACAGTCTTGGTAAGAATATACAGGGTGTAAAAAAATAGTGTATCTAACTTCGGTGTGTGATTCTACAGATAAAAATAAAACAAAAAGTTCTTAAAACATATGCCCTAAAATGCTTCCTGAAGAAGTTCCAGCCCTCGAAAAGTTTAATGAAAATAATATAATTTGTTTATTTTTAAGAACATTGGTGAACCGTTCTTCTTGAAATTTGGTACTCTTACACATATTTTAATAGCAATAATGGAAAATTCTGTAACAGCCCTGAATGGGTACTTTCCATTAGGCTAGAGAGGTAGGTGGTACTTCTTTTATTCTTACTTCTTTTATCCTTATAGATACAGTAATTTCAACAATGAAAATTAAAGCTAGGACTTTTTTATGTAAAAAGGTGCTCTTGGTTTAGTTCGAAACGGTAAACTGTTTTCAATATATTTACGTTTAAAGGTTCCGATGCAACGAGGAGTTTATTAATAATAATTAATTTAGAATTTCTTTACACCATATCATCATGATGACATCAGAATTAAGTTTCTCATTTAAAAAAAACCTCCCAGACACTAATTTTCATCCAAATATTGTCGTTACTTCTATAGAAATTATTTGGAAAAAAATCGAAATAAAAATGAAACTTCTACACCCTGTATCTCCGAAACTAAGCATTTTAGGATAATCATTTATACGAACTCTTTTACTTATTTTTATCTGCGGAATATGCTACCGAAGTTTCCGGAATACAGTTCGAACCACCCTGTATAACCATCTGTAAAATTAAGGACAACAGGAGTTCGACACAACAGTTTATTATTTATTTCTTAATAATATTTGGTGAAGGGCTTTCAAATACTCTATACTCTACCCAACGCCAAATAAGATCTTCCAACAGTCACGATTCTTGGCCCATTCGAACCCAACCGTTAGACTTTTTAACTAACTTTTCCTTTTGCAGTTGAGCGAGTACCTGAAGAAGCAAATGGTGGCTGCCGACGGTGAACACCCCAGCGACGAAGTGAAAAACATGCTCGCTGAACACGACAAGCTCGTCGAAGAGATCTTCCAGCACGAGGACAAAGACAAGAACGGATTCATCTCGCACGATGAATTCTCCGGGCCCAAACACGACGAGCTATAAATGTACAGTGCGAGGAGGATATACATGACATTCCATCGGCATACATGACATTCCATCGAACAAAGAAACAAAAAAGACATTTGCCGATCTTTCTAAAACTCCATTTTCTCTAAAGTATGCCGTGTGATCGAATAAAAACAACATTACAGTAGGTGTTTAAACAGTGTTCATTTTAAATCTTAATAGTGAAGCAGGGATGAGCGATATCGTGATTTTTAAATCATACTGTTGGTATCGTGGTGCAGTGTAGAGATGGGTATATCCGGTATTGAATGAGCCGGGTCCGAAGTTACATCAAGCTTCATGAACCTACAGTACGATAACGACTGCGTTGTTCTCCAAGCTCGATCTACTACCGTTCTCGTAAAAAAATAGGCGATGCTTACGAACTTGGATGAACGATGGCAAACATTACGAACTTTACATACCAGGGGCGGATACAGGAATTTATTTTAGGGGGGGTCCAAAATAAAAAGTAATGTAGAATATGCTTTTTAGGGCGCCATTTTTAACCCAAAAGCCTAATATTTAACACAATTTACAGACTTTAGGGGGGGGCCGGGCCCCATGGCCTCCCCTCTGTATCCGCCACTGTTACATACTAATAAAAGATAGTCGAGACACAATTACAACCTTCCATCAAAACTACCGCATATGGATTGCTTCATGCTAGAAGGAAAATGATGGGCATTAATAGATAGTATTTTTAAGAAATAAAATGGCATTTTTTTCAAAAAAAACTAAAACTAAATTTGAACGTAGCCCTCGTCTGCTGATTTCTTTGACAAACTCGTACAATCATTACACATTCCATAATTTCTTGAATTTATCAATAAAGTAACAACACTAGACACAAATTTCAAATAATACAAAATACGGTTACGGTTTGGGGAAAGTAAACTTTAAAAACAATCAGCAGCAGTTACAATTCCCCTCTTTTTTTTTCCAATATTCCCTAAATACTGATTAGTTTTGCTGCATCGTTATGTTTTTGTTATCGGGTAAAGTTTTTTACTTGAAATCACTTATAAAAAAAACAACAAAACATCCAGTTTATAGAGGCGTCCCCAATCACAAAATCATAAAAATTTCTCTGCGGAAATGCATCGTTCTCTTTTTTTCTGACTTTAGAATAACCGAAATCAGTTACATGAAAACGTGTTCCTGCTTTAAATTCTGAAACCAAACACTTTTCTTGTGTAGGTATGAACTACCGGAAAGAGTTCTGTGAATTCGTATCGACTCGGACCTATTCATCTCTAGAGTGTAAAAAGTGTAGAAACTTTCAACCATTTCAAACTCAATAGTAAATCGCATACATAAATGTTAATTCTTTGCCTACTGTAACGTTGTTTTTATTCGCTCATACGATATTTCGACTGACACAAAAAACTTTTTAGTCAGTAATCTTCTCTAGCTGTCTTTCCATTATTTTAATTTTCGCTAATTATATATACTAGGTAAATAATATTAGATAAGTTAAAAGAAAAAACAGTTTTATAAAAAATAAATGTAAAATAGGATTTTTGATACCTCTTTGGGACGCCAGTTAGTGACGAGCGTGTTTTATATATGTGTGATTTTCGCGTACTTATTTTTACGTTATAATTTTATTTCGTTTTTATTGTACAGTTGAGAATATCTTTATTGCGTATTTATTTCTGCATTGTTATAAGGATGGTGGTAAAAGGAATGTTCCCTCGTCAATTTGGAAATACATTTATTTTGTTTATTTCTTATAAAATTTATACGTTGTTGAATAAAAATAAAAGTTTTTACACAATTTAACTGGTCAATATAATTGTCCCTGTTTTTATTTCAAAATTTAGTAAGGCGATAATGCTTTTAGTGTTTCCTAAACCTTCCATACAGTAAAGGAGCAACGACCACACGTAACACTTTACGAATCTTAATCTGAGGTTAAGGTCAAAATCAGAACAGACAAGTACTTTTTGAAACCTCAAGAATGCCTGCCGAGCTTGTTCGATTCGACATTTAATTTCCTTGTCTGATGTTCAATCTTCGGAGAGCTAGATTTTTTTTTCCACAATAAGGGGCCGTCCTCTGTCGGAAACACTGCGACCTGTGAGGCCTATTGTGTTTGTCCCCTTTCTATATCTGCACCCATTCTCCTATCCCTGTGCCCTGCACTAACTTATGCAGGTCCTTGATAGGATGGGAGCATAGTTCCTCCGGTTCAAACCGGAGGAACAGTTGAAATAAAAAGTGTCGCTTGCGATCCAGAGCCTCGCAGTGACATATTATGTGCTCCGCTGTTTCAGGATCTTTATAGCAGAGTCTGCAGCAAAGACTTACACGATATTACTTATACAGATTGAGCTTGTTCAGGTAACACTTGACAGCCATATGTCCTGTCAAGAGGCCTGTTGTAATCCGCAATTTATTCCTGCTAAGCATTAGCAGTTCTTTTGCGGTTTTAGAGCTAGGTCCTTGGATAAAAGCCTTGCTGTGCCTGTGCCCCTGTCTGTTTCTCCTGTGGACATTCTGCTTTTCCCTGATCCAGAGTTTTAGTGCACTACGGGCCATACATTTGGGTATTCCCAGTACTGGCTCTGGACCAAGATAAGATGCCGATGATCCTTGCCTAGCTAGCTCATCGGCTTTTTCGTTGCCTTGGATGCCGTACGTGCATTTTCCTACCGTGTTGTAGGTCGTGTACATTATCTGCAATTAAGACCTATCGTCGTCGGATTATTAATACACACTCCATTAACTTTGACTCCCATTTCCACATTCTATAGAGCCTCTTGAAAAATATCTTCCGATTAAAAATTGAATAGGAGTGGAGACAGCGCGCAATCCTGCTACACCCAACTTCTAACTTGTATGGGATTGGACACGCGGTATTGGCCAATTTTATTTGTGCTGTTTGGTTCCGGTATAAGTTTTCGATGCATTGAATGTCTTTTTGATCTATATCAAGCCTTTTGAGTAGCTGTATTAATTTTTGGTGTTGTACGCAATCGAATGCCTTTTCGTAGTCTATGAAACACAGGCACACATCCTTCCTCTGATAGTAGCAGTTTTGGACAAGAACCTGATGTGTTGCGACTATCGTTTCCCTTGTACCTAACCCCATTTGTGAATGCTTCCTTTGTACCCTTGCTTGAACCCCATTTGTAAATCACCTTATGTACCAATTATACCCTAGACAAAATTGTTGTCTAGGGTATAATTGGTATTTTTGGTATATAAATTGGTGTTTGTTACCATACCTCCAAACAGTGCCGTGCCATATACTTTTCTTAACTTAGCTACTTGGACAAGAGAAGAATGGGAAAGCAGTCTAGTAATGAACGCTCAAAAGATAGGAGTCTACACAGATGCCTTCAGGAGGCACAGGTATAGGCATCTTCTCATATGGACTAGACATGCAACGATCTTTAAGGGTATCGGAAAAACCTTATCATCGTTACATGGCCAATTTTTCTTGTGAAGTATCCTTTTGTGTTGCCCTTATGAAATAGTCATGTCTGCCAGCGCGATCACGGGGCTTAAAGCGGGGGCGGCCAATCGAAAGGAGGAAATTTTGACACTTAAAATATTATAAGGTACACGAGTTATAATTACCAAATAGCTTTTATTTTGCTTTTATTTATTATTAAGAAACGTGAAAAATTGTTGGCAGACATTTTTCTCGTAGCTAAAATGCCGGCAGACAACACGAAAGAGACATGAAATTTTTTCCAAAGGCCAGAATTTTAAAAATAATTATGGCATGCATGCTGATTGGTGGAATGTCATATTTATTTATTTTAAAAGCCATATATTAAAGGGCAGACAAAAAGATCCTGTCTCAGTCAGCGGTAGACAGTTATCAAAAGGGCGATATCACACTCTACAGGGTAAGTCTTAGAAATCTTATTCTTAGATCTGAAAATATTTGCACTTATTTGCAAATATTTTCAGATCTCGATAAAAGAAACATATTTTCTCTTTACCCTTTTCCAAATAAGTCCAAAATAACCGAGTTATTCAAATTTAAAAAGAAATTGATTTATTTTTAAATAATTTTGTGAGCCACCTGTTTTTTTCTGAATTTGCATCCATTCTTTTAGTGTCGTAACCATAGAGTAAAGCCATAACCATGGTAGGTTAAGATAATAATTTACCCACGGTATAACGTGGGTAAATTTGCGGTGAACAGGCAGTTATAAAAAGTATTCTAAAATATACAGGAATATTTTTAAAAAAATGCACGATTTTCGACATCTTTTTGTGCGAAAAAAACTCGTATACGTGTTTCTATAGAGTCGAAATATATCACCCCTAAAAGTATTTGCACTTATTTAAGACTCACTCTGTATAAGCGTCTTCAGGGAACGCTCGCCGCGTTGTCAATTGAAATATAATACATGTAAATTTGCAAAAATTTTCCGGTGTAGATATTGACTCAGAGGAAGACTTGTTTTAGAGAGCGAGGATCTGCAGTACGATCAGATACAAATAGTGAGGCAGAATAGTAAAAGTATAATACCTGTTTTGGAAATAATAAAACAAATATATTTATAATATAGGTAATCGTCTACATGATTTATCTATACTTAAATGGATGAGGCGGCGAGCGTTGCCTGAAAGTGCTAGAGTAATATCCTTAATTCATATACAAGGGTAATATCCTTGTTTATATAAAGGTAATATCGTACTTTTGATAACTGTCTGCCGCTGATTTAGTCACGATCTTTTTATCTGCCCTTTTGTATACGGCTTTTAAAATAAATAAATATGACATTCCACCAATCGGCATGCATGTATGCCATAATTTTTTTTAAAAATGTTGGCCTCCGGAAAAAATTTCATGCCTCTTTCGTGTTGTCTGTCGGCATTTTAACTACGAGAAAAATGTCTGCCAACAATTTTTCACGTTTCTTAATAATAAATAAAAGTTATTTGGTAATTATAACTCGTATATCTTATAATATTTTTAGTGTTTGGTTTGGTTTGAAAATTTCACCCTTTCGATTGGCCGCCCCCGCTTTAAGCCCCGGGATCGCGATGGCAGACATGACTATTTCATAATGGCAACACATAAGTATACTTCACAAAAAAAATTAGCCATGTAACGATGATAAGGTTTTTTATGTAGCCAGCTCTTAGACTATAATATTCTACAAGCAGATATTTGCGCTATAAAGGAAACGGCCAGTTGTATATGAGAGAAAACCGCTAATTGACAAATAGAAGATATCGTGATATACTCTGAGAGCTTGGGCGCTTTAAGAAGCATCACCTGCAATCAGTGAGATCGTATCACCTCCATCACCTGCAAAACTGTGATGGATTGCCGAGAAACATTGTCCTGGATGCGTCAAGGCGAGGCCACTCTGTGCTGTCTATCAGGCCAAACCTAAAAGCGGACAGACTCGCCAAAGAGTGGACCAGGGGAGAGGCCGTGGCTCCAAACCACTTGTGACGATAAATACAACGAAGGAACCTTTATAGGAACTACCATCAAGGCCAAGCAGCTAGAGACGTGGCAACACCGTGAGGACTGCGCCACAGCTCGAAGGCTGTGGCCAGTGCGGTAGATAGCAAAAAGACAAAACAACTACTAGAGCACAAAAAGAACCTTGTACATAATTGTGTTGTCTCTGGAAACTGTCCAACCTAAAGCTCGTGAGATAGAAGATTTTCAACGACGACTACTGCAGAGAATGCGGAGAGGAAGAGGAAACCATAGAGCACCTGCTGTGCCACTATCCGGCACTGGAAAGCCGACGCTTTAAAATTTTAGGGCACGGTTTTTTGGAGGAACTACAGGAAGCAGCAGAAGCCGACATCAGTGACATTGAAAACTTTGCAAAGAGTTTGAAGGGCTTTAACGCAAAGAACGAATGAGACGAATGTTTGGTGCCATAATACAAGGGTATCGCAATGGGCCTAAAGCCTCCGAGTAAGGGATCAAATATGATCCCAAACTGCAGTAACTTAACCTATCCTAACCTAGCTGCCTGAAGAGATACTTCTATTTTTGATAAATGTTTTGACTACGTCTATGGTTTATGCTGCTTATTTAGGTGGTATCGTACTATTTAATTACAAAAAAAACGTATTAAAATGTTAACAGCAGTTACAAGACTAGTATCGACGTATAGCACGTATCAAAAAAATATAATATCAGAAGAATAATTAACTCATTCAATAAGAAAACGCTAAAAAGGTGGAGTGGACTGGAATATCTATTTTTTCTGGATTATAAGAGCATAAAAATAAAATGCCACATTCTTTTGAAAATAAAAATATATAGTTATGTAATATTTAACAATTAAAAAGGAACACAAGTGTATTTAATGGGAAATAAAAATATATTGGTTTTAACAAAGTTTCTTTATTATTTTACACATTATCTCGAACAATCTTCGTTATAGTTAACAGAAAACCACAGCAAAAAATATATAAACGAAAAACTCTACGAATTAATAGTTTTCTTTGACAATAGCAGCGCAATTTGGCAGCCGAATTTCATTTATACATTTAAAAATTCTTTAGTTAAAACGTAAAAAATACTAAACATCAGGAGAGTATCATCATTGCGTTAAATATAATTAAAAACGTGAAATAAACTGAGAAGACAGTGAAAAAAATATACAAAAAATCAGACTAGTATAATCGACGTTTTTTACACATAAAAAAAGGCACAGGAAGGAAGCTGTTCCTCATCCCCTAATAGGAATACAAACCAAAAAAATTAAATAAATAAAAACCTTACAAACTAATTAGACAAAAAAAACATGACCTAAAATCCTAGCTCATATAAAACGACATGGATACATTTAAAACCAATGGATTATGTTATCAACATATCACAGTATGAGTATCATTTTACCCACTCTCAATCGTCAAATATGTGACGTATTGAATTTCTTTGTGACGAATTGAATTTCATTTCTACAAAATTCAAATTTTTTTATAAAAACAAAAACTATAATTTTATTAAAAAATCTAAGCTGTCATAGAAATACGGCATCATACAACAATAATGTCAAGTGAAATATGTATGCCATGTGATACCATATATAAGTTAATAAAAAGTCTTGTGCTTTTTACATTTAAATTTAAATTTTCTATTATGATTATTATGAATTATTATTTGAATTTATTAGGTATATTAATAAATATATTTGCATTACCTATTCGACGTTATACATATTGCAACCAAGTTTATAAATCTTATGTAGAATTTATCCAGACGAGTTTATATAATCTAGGACTAAAATAACGCTAAATCGATAAAATAATCAACAAATAGTCGTGGAAAGATGAGTTCCAGCCATCTCTATCTATTATCACATTAAATATTCAGTGTACAAAAAGCGACAAAGAAAGAGGTATGTATCTTTTTCTAAGGCTTCATTTCGTAAATGCACACTTTACCTATTCCTTTGTTCTTTCTTTGTAGAAATCTCACAGGTGTCGAGCCTTACAACGAGTAAAACACTAAACGATAATTATAAATTTCGATATCTTACAATCACGGATTTTTTTTTGTTAATATCCTTTAATATATGTAGATAGGTGTTTCTTTTCCTCTTCCGAAAGCCCGCTCTTCAAAGTTCTTCTTACTAAAAATTAAAAAAGCACAATTATAGAAAAAAATATAAATTAACAAAAATCATTAATGAGTTTAAAAAAAAATTACAAGTTGTTTAAAAACAGCAAAAAAATTAAAATCAATTAAATTAATAAAATATTATAGATAATTGCAATAAGTTAAGCAAGTGTAATAAACACAACTAACAACTAAAGATAGAACATGCAAGTTAAAAAGCTTAAATAAAATGTCCAGCAAATTATTGACGTTCTATTAATGTAAGTGTTCCTCTATTGATAGAAAAAACAGTACACCAGCATTCAAAATAGCACTCAATGAAAAAAATACCATATAGGATCGAAAAAATATAGTTATTAGTTATTCTATTGATCAAATATAGCTTCATCAGTAAACGATTTAAAAAGATCAAGTGGAAAATGGAGTCTGCAAACAACATCCCAAAGTTTTAGTTTATATTAACTAGAATAATGTTAAGACTGAGTGAGTTAAAAAGTAGGTACCACATTTTAGCAACCCTTTCCAAACATCCAATATTTTTTGAGATCATCCTGAGTTATTTTTGTCACAGAAAGAGGTAGTCCTCATTGCTACCATTTCAAATTGTTAATCTTTCATTCTCAAGACTGGTAGTTCTAAGCCTAAATTGTATGTGTTTCTGTTTACTTTTTCAATTAAATATTTGCTATGCGTAAATGTTAGAATATAAAAACAATACCAGCGCTTTCAGATGGAGCGGAATGTCCGCGACTTCGAAGTCTTCTTCTTCTAGTGCATATCCATTAATGGATGTTTGCGATAACATTTTCCATCGCTTCTCTGTTCCTGGCGGTATTCATTAACGACTGTACATCGTGTAGGCCTGTCCACTGTCTAACATTCCTCAGCCAAGACATTTTTTTCCTTCCTTTACCCCTCCGGCCTTCGATTAACAGGTGCAAGAATTGATATTTGGGGTTTCGCTTTTGTGCCCCAGGTATGCGTTTTTTTCTTCTTCTTAATCAGTTCAAACAATTCGCGCTGTTTGTTAATACGTCTCAGAACTTCTTCATTTGTTAACCTTGCCGTCCAAGGAATCTTCAGAATTTTGCGAGATAGCCACATCTCGAAAGCATATAGTTTATTAATGGCAGCTGTTTTTAATGTCCAACATTTCATACCATAAAGGAGCACCGACCACACGTAACACTTTACGAACCTTAATCTGAAGTTAAGATCAAAATCAGAACAGACAAGTACTTTTCGAAACCTGAAGAATGCCTGCCGAGCTTGTTCGATGTGACATTTAATTTTCTTATCTGATGTCCAATCTTCGGAGAGCCAGATGACCAAGTACTTAAATTTATCTACCCGTTCTATGGGTCTTGTATTAAATGTTATAATGGAGTTTTTAAACACATCTGGATTTATGGATATTATCATAAATTTGGTTTTCTTGATACCCATTGCTTTGCTCTGTTCCCCTACCTTGTTGACCAGTTGTTATAGATCGTGTATATTATCTGCAATCAAGACCTATCGTATCGTCGGCGTAGCGGATGTTATTAATCCATACTCCGTTAATTTTGACTCCCATTTCCACGTCCTCTAGAGCCTCTTGGAAAATAGCTTCTGAGTACAAATTGTATAGGAGTGGAGATAGCACACAACCCTGTCGCACACCCCTTCTAACTTGTATGGGACTGGACATGGTATTGGCCAATTTTATTTATGCTGTTTGGTTCCAGTACAAGTTTTCGATGCATTGAATGTCTTTTTGGTCTATATCAAGCCTTTTGAGCAGCTGCATCAATTTGTGGTATTGTACGATGCGATCGGATGCCTTTTCGTAGTCAATGAAACACAGGCACACATCCTTTCTCTGATCATAGCAGTTCTGGACAAGCACCTGTTTTGCAACTATCGTTTCCCTTGTACCTAACCCTTGCCTGAACCCCATTTGTGAATCGCTTATGTCCCTTTCACATTTTTTGTAAATTCTCTGGTGTATAATTTTCGGAAATATTTTTAGGGTATGGCGAGTACTACTTCGAGCAAGTACCATGAGTTTATATGAATAATTTCATATGGGTCGCGTATGCTCCGTCCAGATGACGGCCATATACATGAACACATTAATATAAAAACACGTGGACGGTCCGCTCCATCTGAAAGCGCTGTACAGAAGAATTCAAACGGGAAAAAATAAAGTGCTGTTATTTTCCAATTATCAAAAATACACTACAACAAAAACATCTTGCACTTTTAAATCCAGCACCACCTACCAACACCCTTTAAAACTACGGCGAATCCCGGCTACCATACGGATTGTTTTCCCTCGTTCTCGACCTTTTAACTAATAAAAAAAAAGAACAAAATTCTTAGCAACCAAAAAGAACTAGGTTAAGTTAAAATCTTAATTTCGACTATACTCCCCTAAATAAAAACTTACATGATTTCCTATCCGCATGCCTGGTCCGTTTTCTTTCTCTGGGGGCCGTTCTGGGTCCTTTGGTGGCTGTTTTCACCAGACTTTCCAGGATTTCATCGTCTCCGTCTGTTAGGTTTCCGTTTGGACCTGTTGAACTGTCCAGGATACTGCGAAGTTGGGTGTTGTCCCTTGGTTTGCGTCTCCAAGGCAAGGTTCCTTTCAAAACATTCTTAATTAACAGAATTCTTTGAAAACCTTAATTTATTTGTACATAATTAATAATGTTTAATTCAACGTTTAAACCGGATGCGTGTGTCAAAAGTGGCACACCTTATAACTTTTTTATTTTTTCAGATAAAAAAAACGAGATTTGGTATTTTAGTATATGACTATTAGGATTGATTGACGTATTCAATTGTTTTCGGTTATATATATACAATACAACTTTTGACTTTTAAATGGCACCCTTCGTGACATTTATTTTTACTTTATTCGATAGAAAATGACACTCTGAATAGAATGACATATCAAATGTCAACTTTTGACATTCTCGCTTAAAAAAATGTTCCCGGTTAAAAGATGCCCACATCGTAAAAAAAATTACGAATAATTGGTATCACACTTTTGGCATTTTGAGTCAAATTCTCGTTATGAACCGCGTGTTACAATTTCAAATAAACCATATGTGAAAATGTGAAAAATTGACATATGATATGTCATTCTATTCAGTATTCAATTTCTATCATATGAAGTAAAGATATACAGAGGGAGCCATCTAAAAATCAAAAGTTGTAGTCATTTCCGGTGAAACAAGAAGTGACTGAAAACAATTGAACACGTCAATCAATCCCAATTTGTCATGTACTCCCATACCAAATCTTGTTTTTTTATCTAAAAAAATAAACCAGTTACATTATATTATACAATAATACAGAGGCAATGGGCCCAAGGCCTCCGAGTGAGTTCAATCCCAGTGAGTTGACAATTCAGTTGACATTTTAATAAGTAACTTTTTTTTCTTCAAATGAAGGGTAAGGTGAAAAACAGACGATGTAACAATACTAACTTTTACAGGAAAAACTGACTTAATGTTGCCAATTATCATGTTAGAGAACGTTTAGTATCATGTTAAAGATACAAAAAAATTATCACTGTATGCATTAACATTTGGACATCGATTCAATTACAATAGCATGCATTTGGGATTTGATATTCTCAATAGATCAAGTTGATTACTTAAAAATTCCTCCTCAAATGGACATCGTTGTTTTTTTCCTTACCCTTCAAATAAGAAACGAATAGATCGCCAAAGTTATTTTTTGGATTTTGGTCAAATAAAACTCTTAGAATGAGAATGTAGAATATTAATACACTAAGTCTACAACTCTTTTGTCGCGTTATTGGAATTTATGTTTAAGAATATAAATATTAAACTTTTTTAATTAAAAAAATTATAAACAAATATTTAAAAAAATCCAGGAACGTATTTTTTACAAAATGATTTATAAAATTGTTTTAATTAAAATACGAGTACATAATTGGGGTCAGCGTTTAGCAAAATTTTGCAAAATCGTGTGGTAATGTGTAGAAATAAATACCTTGCATGCTTTCTACATCTGATATATCGCTACCCAATAGCTGTCTTAATTCTGCATCAGCTCTATCTTCTTTGGATCTGAACTTTCCCATCTTAAAAAGAAAAAAAAAACACTAAAAAACTATCTCAACACCACAATTTTTTTACTTACATCGGTAATCATCTTGCCCCTGGTCTTATTTCTCTCCCTATGATTGGCCTTCTTCTCCAACTGTTGAAGTACCCTTTCCCTCGTTGTACGGTACTCCAATGAAAACTCGGAAATAATTCTGCAGAAATCGTTGGGTTTGGTATCGGCAATTTGATGGAAGGGGATACCAAGCCAAAGGAGGAACTTGTGGAACCTGTTCATAATCCTTCTGTGCACAATGCCCAGCAAGATAATCCGTTCGGCACAGTCGGCTAGAAAGTCGGACATTTTCACTTTCATCATCGTAGAACCGTCATGTTTGGCGATGAGTTTGAGGTGATCCCAGGACGCCTTACAATCCGCTTCCAGTCGTTGGATGTTGAGGGTTAGTTCGTCGAAGTCTACTTTGGAGGCTCTTGTTATTGCACCAATCTATGGGAAAAGCAAAAGTAAGTTAGGTAATGAAGATATAAGAAGGAATAAACTGTTTTTAGGGTTCCGTACCCAAAGGGTAAAACGTCTAAAGGTAAAACGTCTAAAGGTCTGTCACAAAGGTCTATTTTATGAACCGTTATAGCTAGACAGTTGAAATTTTTATAGATAATGTATCTATGTTGCCGCTATAAGAACAAATACTAAAAACAGAATTAAATAAATGTTTATAAATAAAAAAGTACTTTCACTAAACATTATCTTTTAAGTAAGAATTTTACATAGAATGTTTCAAGTCCTCGGTGGCCGCGTGGTTAAAGCGTTAGGACTTTACGCTGCTATGACGTTGGAGCCGTAGTAAGGCAGGTTCGAATCCGAGCCAAGGCGACTTTTTTTTTATCGTTCTTTTTTAATTTTTACATATTTTTACTTTTTACATCTTTATTATTGATTAATACAATTTTTAGTAATGTGTTTCTTCATTTTTTTTAAATTACTTATACGCGCATTCAAAATTTCGGCTAAATCGGAAAAAAAAGTTATAATAATATAGTGTCTAATGTTGTATAGATAATGAATGGTACGGAACCCTTCGTGCGCGGGTCCGACTCGCACTCGACCAATTTTTTTAGCATCTAATTTTCACAAAACAGTAGGTCCCCACAACGCTCGAATAAATTCCAATTTGGCCATCTTAAGCTCCCTTACTATTAATTTTTAGTTGGACTTATCAATCAAGCGATTATTGTGGTTATTAATGAACTGTTACTATCGATAATTTTTTAATAAATATATTTTTTACAAAGATAAATAAACGATATAAAAACAAACATAATTATGCTTTACAGGACGGTCAAAGTTTAGGAAAGAACACTAAAGAGTTAGCGGTACAGGGTGTTCAAAAAATTTCTGTTTTGTTAATTAAAATTACGTTTATTTATTAAACACTAAAAAATTCACAAAATTAAGTACGGTAAACCGGGGTAACTTTAATTTCTAACTACATATTTTAGAAAATACAATAATGTTAGGAATTTATTAAATATATCTGATTAAAAATGCACCTTTTAGTATAATTTACCTAAAATTATTTAGTTTCCTCTTCAATGGTGAATTTCATCCTCATTCTACTGTTGATTGTTGAATTTAATCCACCTAAGGGCATCTTCAAGAGGATGGTTGAATTGAAGTGAAGCTGTCCCGATGCCATTGTTGGTAATAATATACAAGGGTAATATTCATCAAAACGATAAATACAGGGTGTTCGTTAATGACATGCTAATATTTTAAGAGGTGATTCTTGGACCTACTCTAAGAAAAAAACTTCATATGAAATATCTTAACTTTTCAGATACAGGGTGGTAAAATTTTCCAATTTTTTTTTTCAAAATGTCTCCGATGTTATATTTGATACACGTTTTCCATGCATCAAAATTCGTATTTTGATATACAAAAAAAATTGTTTTATTTCTTAATTTCCTTTTAGCCGATGCAGAAATGAATTCCGCACAACAGTCACCGCATCGGATTTTCAGCGGTTTAACCCTGAAGTAAACTGACTTTAATTTTTTAAGCATAAACTATACGTCGGACGAAAAAAATCAAGAGTTAAAAAATGTTTAGAAATGAATGGAGATTTTGAAAATAATTTTTATTTTAAGAGAAGTCAATACCACTTTTTCTCCAAAAATATTCAATGTAAAACCCGTATGGACGGCACTGGTTGAAATAAATAAAATTCTTTGTGTCATAAAAATATCTGTAATAAAATCAGAGACTTTTAGAGAATTTTACCACCCTGTATCTCAGAAACTAAGGTATTTAGGACTTACATTCATATGAAGTTTTTTCCCTTAAAATAGGTCCAATCAATCACCCCCACAGTTAGCCTGGGCCAAGATGTCAAGAAAAAAATATATAAACTTTGAGTACATTATTTTTTAAATGCCGATACCACTGGCTTCAAAAAAATATAAAAATTAAAATCGCCGACGTACAATTGGGGTCTCTACACAAATTAAAAAAAAAACTTTTTCAACCAAAGTAAAAAGCGCTCAAAAAGTTTTGTTAATAATAAATAACGACCATCATCACTAAAAGCACTTAGCACAGAATATCTAGCTACGCAACAGAAGCCTCGTTACATGTATAAAATTGTAGGTAGCAAAAGGAGACAGGCAGGGTTCGGAAGTAGTTAATTAAGACGTAATTTACCTGATTAACTACGTGTAGTTTTTCTACAAAAACTACGTCTTTTTCCGTTCATTAACTACATGAAAACTACGTTAATAAACTATGTATTGATAGGTATTATGAATAATTTTCATTTGTATGAGTTGTAATAGAGATAATATGATGTAAATATTATATTTAAAGCCATATTTCTTCTGTTTTCTTAAATACATTATGTGTTTTTAAAGCTGCAACTTATTATAACTTCACCTCAAACCTTTGATATTTGAAAGTTACATACATAGGTTACATAAACTACACCCTCTACATAAACTACATTAACTACATGTAAAGTAGTTTATGTAGTTTTTAAAAGTAACATGTAGTTTTCCGAACCCTGGTCATCACTAATGGCGTACCATACCTGTTGGTATGGTCGGGTAAAAAATTAAGACTGTGGCAGAATGTTGGCATAAAAAATAAATCTTATTTTTTTTACGAGAGATGGAGATCATATTTAAGATAATATATTATTTTTTCTAGGATTATTTCACTACTGACTGGAGCAGTCGTCCTGACAACATGCCACCTAAACCATGGAGTTTCCGTTCATCTCAGAAGTATGATACACTGAACCTGCGCTATGCTAGAATAGGAAATACTCCTCTTTTCTCTAAACGAGGATTGTGCATCATGTTTCTGACAAACCTGGTATCTCTGCTCATCGGAACTGGAGTAGGTTTGTTCTTGAACCGCCACGGTTTTTGTTCGACACCCTCTATCAAAATCCGCTAGAATAGTTTTCCCTCGGCCAAGTTTCAAAGCCTCCTTATAAAATATTTGGTGTGGTCATTGTACATTTAGAATAACGGAGCCGGCTGTGCACTATCAACGAATCAAGGAAAAAAAAATCAATTTGAAGGGTTTAAAAAATCTGAAAATTCCTTGAGGGTTCATTTACTATACAATTTGGGTCTCAGACAATTTCAATATTAATTATGATAGCTCATTATCATTATAAGCACAAGCAAATAGTGTATAGCAGGTATACTTTTTTATGTATCCTTATTAGTAAATAATCAATTTAAATAAAAAAATAATTGCATGATTTTTTTTATTTTTGATTCACACCAACTATTTTTTTTTTTCGTTCAGTATAATTTTTTTCTGTTTTTTGGCTTTGAAACATTGATGATACATGAGACTGGGAATCTTTTCTACTGTTCTACGCATAGTGGTGTTAAATCACAAAGCTTTTCACATTATTTTTTTTGTTGTTTTGATTGAAACAGAAAGGAAGATAGGAGGAACATTACTTATTTATATTAGTTTGTTAATAATAATTTTTAGTATAGTTTATTTTGGCTGTTAGAAAATTTGATAGATTCGATATAAATAATGTTTTAATTCGAAGCAAGTGGTCCGACCAATTCTAAAATTAAAATAAATAATAATAAATGCTTTAGGTACCCCTGGGTGTTATACCAGACAAAAAATCTGCTTTAAACGTATAAAAAAAGTCCAATTAAATATAATCATATATTTATAAAGCATTTATGTACTATTTAACCCTAATAATTGTATTTTTTTAGAAGTTTTCAAGATCTCGATATTGTTTGCTGTGTGAGGGGGGAGGGGGAAATTATCTATCTGTCAAAATACTTTTAACTATAATAGTACTATGATAATTACACGACGAGTGTTTTTCCAATAACGAATAAACCTTTTGTAAGCTGGCATATCTTTTATTTCATTTAAACTACCTTAACATTAATATTACAAACTTTTGTACATACTAATAATTTGTGTAGTTTGTCATTACATATAAACAATTGCATTAATTACATCTATCAGACTTATAAAACAAAGATCCTTAAAAAAATTAGTTAAATAAATCAAATATTAGTTAAAAAAGAAACATTTCTTTCACAAAAAATATACATTAACTATGGTTTCCAATGATGAGAAAAATTTGAGGGTATCTGAAGTTTGTACAGTGTATTTTCCATGTCATTAACAAGTAAGTTGAATACCAAATCAGCTCTATGCAGCTTCTTTGTTACTGTTATCCTTCTTTGTTCACCTTTGCCTTCGCTTTTTGATTTTAATCCAAATTTCATTGCTATTCTGTAAATAAAATAAAAATAATATATTTGAAAAAGACACTTATATTTTATTTACTTGTGAATGTGAGCCCGTTCTTCGGACGTAAAATCGGGGTCAAATCGTAGCATTGAAATTTTCGAGGAGCTGGCATAGTCTTCCAATATTTTATTGACCTTTTTAAATACATCTGAGCTCCCTAGCCCTTCCTTGGTTATATTTTGCTCAATAGTTTCTGCAAGAGTTTCCTGAACACCTTGTTCCTTCACTCCTAGGCCTTTTCCGCTCCATCCCATTTTTAACATCATCTGGTAAGCTTTATTATCATCAGTAAAAGATGACTGTGGGGTAGGCTTAGACGTTGTGCTTTCATTTGTACAAACTTCTTCGTAAACTTTTTTCTGAAACAATGGTTATCAGTCAAAAATTACAAAAAATAATTTAAAAATACTTTAGTTATGTAGAAACAGTCCTTCTTGAGTAATTCTATAGCTTGTTCAGCCAGTGCGCTTTTGGCAGCTTGTTTGTTAGGAAATACACCTTGTGCTAATACTTCTTCGTCAATTTTTATTACAAAACTCCTATAATTAACACTCACAGAATAAAAAAACATATATTTTACTGTATAATTACCCATTGTCAAGTGTATCAATACTCATCTTCAGTTGAAAATAATCTACTGTTCCTTGTAAAATTTGGACGGGACTATCTGTCGTTTCCAAAAATATAATTTTTGATCTAATACCAGGCTGTCTTAATACAATATCTAGCAGTTCCTGTGCCTTTCTTTCTAGGAGCGATTCATTTGTTTCTGGTTGTATAGGATAATTCTGGTCATTATTAAAACGAGTGTTACTGAAACGTCTATCAGATTCCCTTCCTTGAAATTGTTCTTGGGGATTTCTAAATTTGTTGCCGTAATTATTTACAGGGTACCTATTTCTCGAGCTAGGTCTCTGATCAGAATTCGTGTTGTCGAGTTGGTATCTGGAATTTGCCGAATTATACGGAGGTGTACGGTAATATGGAGGTTTATGACTGTATGGAGTTCTTCCATATTTATTTCTGTAATAGTTTTGGTGTCTTTCGTTATGGCTCATCTCAGAATAAACTTAAATTATCTAGAAAATTATTATTCGACTCTGCGTTTTCATAAAAACAACAAATCAATGTCAAAGTGACAGTGACATGTACCACAGATGGAAGGAACTTCCCACCACTGAGACCACAGAACATGCTAGTTTTCGATAACATTGACCACAGAATAAAGTTTAAAATATCGATAGTTGCTGGCGGCAAAACAATCAATAAAAACTCGTATCTACTTTCTGGCGCGTTGTTTAAAAATTACGCAATTGTGCATCTAAACACTTTTAGTTGTTTTCTTACATTAAAAATCTATAGAAAATTTTACCCTGGCAGAGTGCTAAATTAAAAGTTATTTTTATTAATAATATTAAGTATTTTAATTAAATTAATAGTGTTTTTGTGATATTTACAAAGTTATATGATATTGATTTGAGTCCGATCCTTGGAAATAGGATTTAATTTTCTTAAAATATATCGTTATTTTTTTATAGGTGCATAAGAAACCTTGACCTAATATAATATGCCTATGAATTCATCTATATCTACGTCATAGAAAATGCATTTGCATTCCTATTGTTTAACGAATGAAATGCAACAACAAAATGATGCCTACGTGTGGAAATAAGTTTTGATACTTACTGTACTTGACTGGCGCTTGAAAATAATAAGATGGAAAGAAAATATTTCAGGTTTCTTAAGTTGGCTGTGCTGAAGTAAAGATTAAAAAGGAATTAGGGTGGCAGTCTTGCAAAGTCCATTGCGCGCGCAAGATATACGCTAGAGTGATGGCGTGTTGTGCTGTGTGGGGTCCGTAATATTTGTGACAAAATGAGTAATAAGACTGTTTAGAAAATATTTTTTTAATGGTGAAAGTGTTTAGTGACGATTGGTGATTTAGTCAAAGCAAATTATCCGATCAAATGGAGTTAAAACTGCATTCCCCAGCGGGTGCAGATCCTGTGCTATACACTTGGCCATTAACCTCGGGTCGTGGAAATGTAAGAATGATAACAAAAACAGTATTCAAAGCACTTTTTAAATAATTTGGCAATAACCCTTACTAGAAATTTAAAAATGCCGATTTAATATTAGCCTACTTGACCACCACGTTTTGATTTGGGTATTTCCCAGTTTGCAACAATCAAACGGTACTTTACTTGACGAATTTTTACATCAGTTCCCAGAAAAAAATTACTCATTTTTCTATCGTTTAATTATCTTTAATCTTGACATCCTATTTTTCTATGTAATATGTGCGATTAGAATAACTGCACAGTGGGGTTATAACTGGCATATTTTGGTTATTCTTCGCGACTCAATAGGTAGTTTTAAAAATAGATTTCAAACACATTTTTATTTAAAAAGTGCTATCTAAATATAGTTTCGATATTTATTACTGTAACCTTACTTTTTAATTTATACGGATATTTATGTGTATTTTCAAAATGAATGTTTATTTTTCAACATGCTATTTCGATTGCAACATCGTAAGGAACTAGTTGCTTTCATCACTATTTATTTTTACATTTTAAGAATTTTTACTTTTCTTTTCAAAACTATGTTTTGTTTATTTCTATATCTATTCAAGTTATGCACCTGTTACAATTATTATAACGAAAGAATTTTTAAGGAGGAAATCAAAATGATTTAATGCTAAATAAGGTTAGATTTGCTCTTTTGTTGGTTTTTGTTATTGTTTGTTATTCATTACTTTAATTCTCTATTTGATTTCTGTAGGACAAACATGATGGTGCACTTGAAATTGTTGAGACCATAAGGTAAGGTTAATTTTATTTATTTTTTCTTACATATTAAGAAATTTTAAATCCCTATGAAATAATAGTTAAAAAATTTGTGAGTGAAAATATTCGTTAATAACTATAAATAATATGTTATTAGTTCCATAAAATGGATGTATTTGAACCATAAATAGATATGCAGTAATTAATGTAAGTGGTTCAAAATAATTGTTTATCAGTTATCGTGTTTTAATTGATAATAATAATTACAAATCTCTCTTACGAAATTATTTATGAATGTATTTTAACTAAAATAGATTTTTGTAAAACGACAAAGAATGAACAAGGTGCAGTAAACGCAGGCATGCGACAATGTTGTCAGATCACCAAAAATACTTTCTAGAATATTGTTAAAAGAGGCGGGCAGCAGCTGTTTAGAGGTGCTTAGCACATTGCCATCAACCAAGACTAGTTTCTTGCAGGTATCTGCTCTCGATATCAATGGATAAACCTAACATTTTCAAATCAGTCATTTAAACATTTTCATTGGTTTGTTAACATATTTTTGAACTATTTTTTATTTTAATAAATTATTATTTCGGTTTCTTTGTTGAAAGTCGATTTTTTCGAGTCCCTATTATATTTATTTAATATTAGGGAGTTTGATATATTTGGCAACGTCGGTTTTGGAATAGTTGGGCCCAAAACACAGGACAGAGAAGCTGAAAGCGGGTGTATTATTGATTTTTAGAACGCCTGACCATGACCTCTCTCCGGGGGTTAAATCACAATTAAAGAGATGAAAGTGTACATCTCGTATTTTTTCCCGCATCAATGATCCCAAATCAAATGATTATAAATTTTATCTACAATTTCATTCATCAATTATGGGATTTTTGGCAACAGTGCGCATAAGACGTAGTAAAAAGTTCATTCACTTGATTTTTTTTGGAATTTGCGTATTCGTTTTCTTGTAAAAACGAATGAAGCAATAGTCCTTCGATTTGTTGATTCAAGCAATTTACTATCATACGAGGATTTTTTTCTAATTAGGTTTTTCTACAATTATTAAGAATAAATGTTATTCTTAATAATTGTAAACATAAAATGTGAAAGTTAATTGTTTTTTACAGGATATACACATTAGTTTAGAATAAGACAGTATATCTGGAAAATTGTTACTTTAAACCATGATTTTTCTAATGATATTTCCAATATTTTTTTATTGAATAAATATTTTGCTATGTAGGTTGTTTAATTATGAGAACAGATGTTGATATAATAGGTATTACAAGAATTATGTAGGTGTTTTTTTGTATGCATTTAAATAAAAATACGCGGGTAATTTAAAATAATCTTGATTTAAATAAATTTTCTCTACCGAACTCACTGCATTTAGTTGATCATTATTTTTTTTCTAATGCAGTTGAGACCTTGAGGGTTGATATGCATCATAAGAGAACAATCCTTGAACATGAATATTGCTTTTTACGATGTTAGGAATAGGGAAATCCTCTAAAATATGTGTTTATTTATGTCTTATCATCGTCAAGGATATGACGTGTAATTTTTACTTAAAAAAATCGCAAACTATTTTTTTCTTTCAAAATGATTATCAGAGTCCTTTATTTATTTTTTTTATTGGAGATAGTAACAATTATTGATAATTTTCTGTAGCAGATTGACGTCATCTCCTGCGGTATCTTATTTTAATAATTATTTGCTCTTGGCCTATTATGTGATCCGTGATTTGGTTCTTCTTCTCTTTTATCATTTTTGAGAACAATTACAATTATTTTCTAACATTACAAGCTTTTATTTATTGCGAAAAAATAATCAATTCTAGAAAAAAATGTCTATCTCTTAAAAAAATCGAGACGGTACAAAAAATTCCCACAAATCAATTTTTTAGCCCTAATAGACTATTTCAGACGTCTACTACACCCATGCTGTTTGTTTTGTCATCCCTTATCTGCCCTGTTCAATGACTTTAGCTCGAATGCGGCAACAGGGGGTTGAAAAGGGCATTGACATTGGCATGTCAACCTGATTTTTGGCACGTATACACCATCTGTCTTAGAGAAAGCCCTGGTTTTGTGCATTCTGCACTACAGCCACCAATGACTTGCATATATCTGTCATTCTTTTTTAGAAAGTGCATTTCTTCACACAATACTTGGATGCATAATAAAAATATATATAGTATATGGAGATTTTTTAAGAAATTGAATAAAAATGTAACACTCTATATAGGGTGATTCACGGCGATGGCGACGTTTATGGAGAACCTGTGATAGAATTTTTTTGAAAAATTAGATTTTTAGATAAAGGCACCTGCTCCATCTATCTAAAATATTTTCAGCGTGACAGTGTTGCCGCATCATTTATTATTACATTTTTGGAAACTACATTCATCTAATATATAAAATCCTTAAGTGACTGACATACTGATTAATCACGATCCTGCTCAAACCACTCAACGTAAGAAGCTCAATTTTGGCATACAGGTTGATTCTAGGGTGTAGAGGTTCGATAAGAAGGGATTTTTCGAAATTCCACTTCCAAGGGGGTGAAACCACCCCTCAAATATTACAATATTTTTTTATTTAATAAACGGTCAAGTTTCCGAAAAAACGCTTAAACACGTATATTTTATTTTGTTTTTTTTTAAATATTTTAAGATTTTTTAAAAATGTATACAGGGTGTTTCGAGAAATCTGGTCATTGACTAATCACGATCCTGCTTAAAGCGCTTGACGTAAAAAGCTGATTTTTGGAAAACGGATTGACTTTAGGTTGTAGAGGTTCGATAATAAGGGATTTTTCGAAACTCGAATTCTAAGGGGGTGAAACCACCCCTCAAATATTAGAATATTTTTTTATTTAAAAACCGGTGAGTTTTTTTTCGGAAAAACTCTTAAACACGTACATATATTTTATTTTGATGTTTTAGGTACATATGTATTTTAAGCTTTTTTAAAAATTCATACAGGGTGTTTCATAAAATATGACCATTGAGTAATCACGATTCTGCTTAAACTGCTTGACGTTTAAAGCTGATTTTTGGCAAACCGATTGACTGTGGGGTATAGAGGTTCAATAAGGAGGGGTTTCTCGATTTTTTTTTTGAATTGCTGACATAAATGTGTGAAAATTTTATCCAGTTTGTATGTTAATGGAAATTCTTGCTTTGCTTTATCATCACCATTACAAATGATTAATTCGGCGCGAACGAAGTCGAGGGTTTACGCTAGTATTTCATAATTTTTCAGTTTTACTGATCTTTACCTATCTCTAACATTTTTTGAGATAATAAATAAAACGTGTAAAATGCAATCTGTCTAAACCAACTGATTGGATATTACACAGGGAGAGCAAAAACTGCTTCTAAGTAAACATCTAACACCGTGGTCGTCATGGCCGTGAATCACCCTCTATATTGATATTTTTTTAAGATACAAAACTGAGAAAAATATAACACTCTATAGGTATTTTGTTTAGACAAGATGCAGGTTTAGAGTGGGGCTCCCCTTTAAATTCTATTCATACTCGAACATTTCACAGAGTAACTAGAAAAAATAACGAACTTATACCCATGCACCCCTATAAAAGCATCTCTATGTGCGCCAGGTCAGGTAGACGTTCTGGCCACCTTTTGTATGTCGAAATGTAAGAGCAGTTTAAATTAAATGCCATGCATGTCCTGAATAGAATAAAAAAAATCAAAAAACTATATCGCTGCACTAGTTACAAGTGTATGTTCTATTCTCGATAAATAGATTTAAGTAGGCCATGGGATCGAATTTTGATTTCGAATTTGGCTCTATGCTGTGAGATTTGCAAGTTTTTGAAACTTTATTTGTCGGTAACTTGATCATGGTTTATTCATTTTGCAATATTACCAAAAGAACCTTCAATATTAAGTGTCCTAAAAATATACAGGGTCCGGTAATAGTGCGTCGGGCATCTGTAGCTCCTAACATAAAAAACTTGGGAATTTTCTTTAACCTAAAGTATGTATTAGGATGTATTTTAGTAAAATAATTTGATGGCTCAAAAAATTGAGTGGTTCGGGATGATTTTTTAACTGGAACACCCTGTGTGTTATTACATTTTTGGCTTCCTTTCTGATCACTTTACATAATCCTGAGATATTTTTAAATATGTTTTGATAGTTGCAGGTGTATTAATAAATACATAAAAAATATGTTTTACAGCCTTTCTTAAAACGAATATTAAAAATACAAGAACTGTCCTGCAATCAAAAATATACTAGGTATTTACTTTAGATTTTTTTTTACTTTACTTTCCATTTAAAAAAAAACGATGAACATTTATTTTATATTTTAGAAAGTTTGGTGTAGAATTTTGAACACCCTGTACGAGTTAAGATTACGATATTTGTAGCATAGTTAAGTACAGGGTGAGTCAACGATAGAGGAAAGTCCATTATCTCATTTGTTTCAAGGTTTACAAAAAAAAAATATTAAATATAAAAGTTATAGGGACGGTTAAGATACACATCTTGAAATTATTATAGAGTTGTTTCTGTAAAGATATTTTAGTTAGATACTACAGGGTGGTCAAAATATATTTATAAATTTCAACTTCTTAAAATTAAGTAATTTTAAATTTTTTAAATGGTACACCCTATATATTATTATTTTTTCTGATAGATTTTACAAAACTCTTCAACTTTTATTAAGTACGTCTTATACCTATTTTTAATAGTTTCCGATTTATTCCAATTTTTTTCTATTCTTACCCATATTTTTAATACAATACGCTATAACATCATAGTTGCCATGACGAAAAGTAATAATTATCAAGATTTCTTGTCTGTTAAGCAAGTTAAGAACAAAATTGAAATTTTAGTTTAATTTGTTGTAATAAGTATAAATGGTAGAGATAATAGTTGCAGATTTTCCTGAAATTAATTAGTCAATGTGACTGATACACACAAACAAGCCAAGAAAAACATATTTTTTGGTTCAGTACTATATATTATATTATATATAGTACTTTGCTAAGTAGTATAAGAATATATGTAGATTATCTAAAAAACATCTTCAGTGTGTAATGGGACGGTTTCGCGGCAATAGTAATATTGGCTTTACCAAATGAATTATAAACCAGCATTACTGCGAGAAAAATACTTTACTGTATGTCAAAGAAAATTCCTATATCAGTATAGTCTTCAACAATTAAGTATAGTATTACCCTAATCTGTGGCTATTCGCCCCGACGGAAAATACAAGTGTCATCTTTCATAATATAGAAATACGTGTGCCATTTAAAAAATTTGAGATTTTTTAATTTTAAGTAGTTGAAATTCATAAATATATTTTGAACACCCTGTATCATTTAACTAAAATATCTTTTTTTCATCTCTATAAAACTCTCCTACCAAATTTTGGTCCTCCAACTTCAGAAACAATGGCACAACTGACAATTTTTTACCGCACTACAATTTAACATTTGTTTAAACAAATTGAAATATTACAAAAAGTATTAATTTTAGGTATATAACATTATATATAAAAAAGTTATAAAATTTTACGCAGAATCTAAAAATAAAAAAAAATAGGGTGTTGCATTTAAAAAAGCATATGTTATATTCGCCACACTTTTTTGAAGCACCTTGTATACTCTAGAATAATTTTAAAATATGTATCTTAACCTTCCCTATAACTTTTATATTTAATTTTTTTTGTAAACCTCGAAACAAATGAGATAATGGACTTTACTCTATCGTTGACTCACCCTGTACAGATCCGCTACAGTAAATACCTAATATAGTTTTGATTTCAGGACATTTCCTGTATTTTTAATATTTTTTTTAATTTATTTATTAATATCTTTGAAACTCAAAATATATTTAATAATATCTTAGGATTATGTAAAGTAATCTAAAAGGAAGCTAAAAATACAATAATATACGGGGTGTTCCATTTAAAAAAAATCATCCCGATCCTCTCACACTTTCTTGAGCCACCCTGTAGAAGTATAATGTAGTTTATGTTTGCATTCTCAAGTTTTTTATTCTAGGAGCTACAAATGCCCGACGCACTATTGCCGGACCTTGTATGAAGTAGTCACTTATTTTGTTATTTTATTTCAAATTTTGAATTCTATTCTATAATCTAATAATTTGAAATTGGCAGTTTTTGGTTTATACCAAATTAATCGCATCCGTTATAAGTGGTAGTTTGTTAAATAACAAGTTATGTAATAATTACAGGGCAACTACATACATATTATTTTATATGTGTTTATTATTTGGAAAATTTCTAAAGAACGCCATTTTTCACCGAACATTTCTGTTACAGAAAACGCTATTTAAAAAATATCTATATAGCATCAAGGATTTCTAAAATTAGAAAATTGTTATTAAAATATAATGTATAACCATAAATTAATAAGACATTTTATTATTTTTAATAAATATTATGTTTCTTTAAAATAATTATAATTTCATTTTGCTTTATATTTAATAAAAGTATTCATAACTTTGTCTTAACCTTGATCTAAATTATAAATTAGAATTGAAGTAGATTTTTATTTTAAAGCTAGAAATTTACAAATGCACTTAAAATAAGATTGTTCTACAAACTTTACGTAACTAGAACACGACAATTTACATTACGGCTTAGAGTAATAAAAAGTACAGTAATTTTTTTATTATCACTCTTGTTGGCTCAATTTTTCTGATAAAAAGGTTTCATTTGGTGTTTTTTTTTCTTTATTCAGATGGGTATGTGAAGACCTGCCCGAACTGAAACTGCCATTAGAGAACAATATTCTTTGTGATTATGACACTAGAAGCTACGAGAGTATGAAATCGCTCTGTGATAGATTCAACAGAGCTATTGATAGTGTTGTAGCTTTGGTAAGGATCCCCTCATTGAGCTAAAAGAAAACATTTTTTAATTAACGCTTGCTTCTGTATAGGAAAAAGGAACTTCACTGCCAGCTCAAAGGTTAAACAAATACCCATCTCGAGGTCTCCTCAGGCACATTCTCCAGCAAACTTACAACGCTGCTGTTACTGATCCAGAAAAACTGAATCAGTATGAGCCGTTTTCACCTGAAGTTTACGGAGAGACTTCGTACGATCTAGTTTGTCAGATGATCGACCAGATTGATATTACCCAAGACGATGTGTTCATAGATTTGGGCTCTGGAGTTGGACAAGTTGTGCTGCAGATAGCTGCAGCTACTCCCTGCAAGGTTTGCCTTGGCATAGAAAAAGCTGATGTAAGATTGTATTCGATTTGTTCTGTTTTATATCAGGGTTGGCATGATTTAAATCAAGTGATTTTTTATTTTAATCATGTGATTTAAATAAAAAAAATCAACTTTTTTAAAACTTTGTACGCTCGTTGAATTTGAAACTTAATATCAGTTTAATAATATATTTTTGTACTTTTATTTCTAGGCGTTAAAATGACAAAAATTAATACTTTTGTGGCGTTTGAAAAAAAATCCTTTTGATCTGAGGCGAGCGACGTTTTTTGCGGAATATATTGGTGACCAATGTGGAAAAATGACACGCGCAGTAAAATTGTTAATGTTATCGGTATCGGGCAGATTTAGTAATTTAGGATAGGACTTTAATTGGAAATAAGCCCTAATTATTTGGAAATCCGATTTAAATAATGTTTTCTTTAAAAAAAATACTTAAAAATCAGATTTTTTCTTATTTTGAAAAAAATCTGATATAAATTAAAAAACCTGCTATGAATAAAAAGTCTGATAAATTAAAAATCTGATTTTAAAAAATCAGATTTTTTTGTTATTTTGAAAAAATCTGATATAAATAAAAATCTGATTAAAAAAATATGCTATTTGGTTATTTTAAAAAAATCTGATATAAATTAAAAAATCTGATATAAATAAAAAAAATCTGGCTTATAAAAACAGATTTTTTGTTATTTTGAAAAAGAATCTGATGTAAATAAAAAACTTGATATGAATAAAAATTCTGATATAAATTTAAAAAAAAATCTGATTGAAATAAACAAAAATCTGATTTAAGTAAAAAATCTGACATAAAAAACAGATTTTTTGTTACTTTGAAAAAGAATCTGATATAAATAAAAAATCTTGATATTAATAAAAAATCTGATTTAAATAAAGCAAAATCTGACTTAAAAAACAGATTTTTTGTTATTTTGAAAAAGAATCTGATATAAATACAAAAACTTGATATGAATAACAAATCTGATATAAATTATAAATCTGGTATAAATTAAAAAATCTGATTTAAATAAAAAAAAATCTGACTTAAAAAGCATATTTTTTGTTATTTTGAAAAAAAATTGATTTAAATAAGATCACGATTTTTGCCAACCCTTTTTATATTAATCAAAGTATTTCCTTGCTGGACGTCCTCTATAAAGATTTTTCTAGCCAAGATCTTCTATTTGTGTAGGTTCCAAGTCGCTATGCCGAGGCGATGAACAAAAACTTCCGGACTTGGATGCAGTGGTACGGTAAAAAGTACGGCGAGTACAAATTGATAAGGGGCGACTTCCTCACGGAGGAACACCGTGAAAAGATCAACCAGGCGACCATAGTCTTCGTGAATAATTTTGCTTTCGGCCCATCCGTCGACCACCAACTCAAAGAAAGATTCGCTGATCTCAAAGACGGTGCTAGGATCGTCTCTTCCAGGAGTTTTTGCCCCCTCAATTTCCGGATAACCGACAGGAACTTGAGTGACATCGGTACCATCATGCACGTCTCTGAAATGTCGCCTTTGAAAGGTTCAGTCTCCTGGACCGGCAAGCCTGTGTCCTACTATCTGCATCTGATAGATAGGACCAAGCTGGAAAGGTATTTTCAGAGGTTAAAGAAACCACAACTAAAGGTATGTTTTATATATTTACCCACTTATAAAATCGTTTTATTTTCTAATAATAGTACAGGATCCAGCTGCAAGATTATTACGTTCAGTATATTTTTATAAAAACCTAATTTTTAACGTATATTTATGAATAGGGGAATACACTTTTAACAAATAGCTTCTACGTCCTGTTTTTATTTTTTAAAAAAAGCTATAAATACGTAGTAGCAATCAAAATACGCCGTAGGCGTGTTTTGATTGCTTCGGTTAGCCTCTGGGGTATTGCTTCGGTTAGTCTCTGGGATAAATGCGCGTGCAGAACTGCGAAATAAAGGGACAACAAACGGCAACATTGTTGGATATGCGAGTTAACTAGTGGGACGAAGAAGCTAGTCTTTTAACGGTTGCAACGGTTTAAAGTTTTTCTTACCAGTTTATACGGAACCGGCAACAATGCGTCGGGTATCTGTAGCTATTATAATAAAAAACTTCGGAATTTTGAACAAGTGCAAACCTAAAATATGTACTTGGATCTAGGATGTGTTTCAAGAGAATATTTTAACTTCTACAGGGTGGATCAAAAAAATATGAGTAGATCGGGATGATGAGCGTAATATTCCTGCAGCCGGTTCTTAGACATAACTTTCACGCCAAAAGAATATTAATTAAATTTATAAAATATAAAAAAAATATTAACCTTCTAGTTAAAATTCACTTTATATAGTATTTACTGAGAAAATATTTATTTAAAGCCTATATACAAACTTGTTTTTTTTTGGTACAGGAAAAAATCAGCTTTTTATATAAATTTTTTTAAATATTCTATTTACTAAATATTACACATTAATATTTAAGATCAAATAAATTTTATTTTATATCTAGCATCACAAAGGTATCATAATTATATCATAAAACATTTCATATATTAATTGAAGATATATCTTTAATATTAATTATTTTTTTAAATTTGTCAAATATTAGATTAAAGAAGTCCACAACTTTTCAAACTACGTCCACTACTAGTACAGTCCTCAATGATGTCATATTAACTATGAACTTTTAGAACAAAAATTTAATACTATTTATTTTCTACCTGATTTAGGTACAATAATTTAATTTTTGTACCAAGAAGGTTCACTTGTGATAGAAATATGAACACCCTTAAAATTTACAACTTCTAAGAGTTCAAAAGTTAATAAAAATAGCTACCTGGGTTCGAATTTACGATTATTTTATAGCTAGTTGAATTATGTCTTATTTTTTTTACTACACTAGCCGCTTTTAAGAATAACCGATTTATTTCAATATTAGTTTAACTTGCAGCAAAAGCACCAGAGCAAGAAGCTGAGAAGGAAAATCTCTAGAGGAAAACCGCAACCGATGATACAGGACGATCAGGAGGAGAAGGAAACGCAGAAGCCTGGCCCGAAAGGCAGACGTGGAAGAATGAAGAAGACCAAGCCAAAGAAGACTATCAAGATTACCGGACTGGACCTTCTTCACACAGAAACTTTACTCAGCACGTCAGTAGAAGCTATCGGAAAGAAACTGCCCCCAGCTCCAGGCTGTGTCGACCAGCAGCTGACCACTTTGAGTTCCGACGTGATCATTCACAACGAGCTGGACATTCCGCTTGAACCGGCAGCTACGCCATACGGCTTGCAAATGTTACTGGACATGTTCAGAGTTCAATACATGCAGACGATTGCTCAAATGAAGAATCCGTTTTATAAGAATTCCATCGAGATTCAAATTGAAGAGGAAAAAGATCGGAACAAGAAGCTGAAGAGCAGGGCTGCTCAGTTGGAGAAGCAGATCAAAGTCCTTATTGACGATAGCGTTGCCTTACTTAAAGCACGGATGAGTGAGCTGGGTATCAACGCAACATCTCCTGTCGATTTACTGGCCAAAGCCAAGGAAATCGTGTGCAGACATAAGGAATTACAGGCTAAAGCTAGCAAGTTGCAAGGACAGGTAGCCAAGCTAGAAAACGAAAAGGATCATTTATCCATGCAACGGTCCGCGGAAGTGTGCGAGAAATACATCGGCACAGATGCTGCCAAGGATCTCTCTCCCAGCATGGCTCAGGAATACATCCTTAGAGAAATCTCTTCCACCCTAACACAAAGGAAAAAGTTACGAAACGAGGTACAGAAACTCGAGGACGAAGTGGTCACCTTACACAAAGTCGGAGAAGAGCGCAAACAGAATCAAGCCTTGATGTCCAGCAGACAGCAGCAAGCTCCCGCCAAAATATCCCGGAAGTCCCGAGAGTACAGAGCGCGATCCCAGGACTGGCCTGAAGTGCCTGACATAGCCAAAATCGAGGAGCAGAACCCCGAGATCCTGGCGCAGAAAATTTTGGAAACTGGGAGAAAAATCGAGGCTAGTAAGTTGTCGGCTATGTCTAACAAAGCTCCGCAGTATCCGAATACGAATAAACCTCCATCAAACGGACAGAGAAGCTTGGTTCGGAACAATATGCCCGCTCCTATGCCGGTGACTAAAAGACAGAAAACCACGCACCCTTATCCGACGATGGGGACGCCAAATCCTCCAAACGCTTCCAGTAATACTCCGAATCCAAACCAGAAGCACCAAGAGACGCCGAGGATCAATTTCGAGGATCGTCTCAAGAGTATTATTACTTCTGTACTAAACGAAGATCATCCCACTGGACCCAAACAAACGAACCCACCTAGATTCCCGTATAACTCGGGTATTCCCGCACCTCACATGCCAACAATGCCTGTTCAGCAGCCGGTTCCTCCGGCGCAGCCACCTCCAAGTTCAAATTATGGATCTCAAGCACATTACAATGCGTTCGTTCCAGGCAAGTCGGAAGAGAAACAGAAGTATCCGTCTGCGGCTAAGTATTCCAGGACTGAGACAGTGGTGAGACAGAACGCTGATCGGTACTACCCTACGCATCCAGAAGGATTGGCTGGAATGATGGAATGTTACAGGGAACCGCAAGTTTCCCCTGCCAAGTTAGCGCTAAGGAGACATTTGTCGCAAGAAAAATTGGCGGCGCAACATCCAACTTTTAACACTTCTGAAGGGTTGGTCGCTACAAGGACGATAGGGGACTTGGTCTCTGGAGAAATAGAAAGGACACTGGAAATATCCAATCAGTCAATAATCAACGCTGCGGTGGATATGAGCGATATTCAGTTGAACGCCACTTTGAACGCGAGAGCTATTGTTAACAACAACATTCCTCCGAGACCAGAAAGGGTAAGTACTTTTTGTACCCTTCATACAGGGTGAGTCTTAAATAAGTGCAAATATTTTTAGGGGTAGTATTTTCAGGAAAAAAAAATTTGAAAATTTGGAATTTTTTGACAATTTTTTTTTAATTCTTAGTTAAAAAACATAGTTGTTGAAGCATACAGTTAGAAGAATGAAAACCCAGAAAAGATTCAGTGGTTCTCAAAATTTAAGCGAAAAATCAATTTATTTTAATTTTCAAATTAAAATATCTCGGTTATTTTGGACTTATTTGGAAAAAACAGTAAAGAGAAATTATGTTTCTTTTATCGAGATTTACCAGCACTCAAAATATGTGTACTTATTTAAGACTCACCCTATACAGGGTGTCCCAGAAATAAGTGCAAGTATTTTAACTGATAGTATAGTTCAACCCCAAAAACACCCTATGAGGTTTTTCGCGAAAATTTTTTTTTGAAAATTCGGAATTTTTTTAATTTTTTTTTAGTTTTTAGTTTAAAAAATATAATTTCTTGATAATATGGCACCATAGGTAGTAGATTAAATTTACAAGAAAGAAAATCCAGAAACTATCCAGTGGTTTTCAAAATGTTAGCATATTTTTGCTTTGGAAATTTGCAAAGTAAAATAACTCCGTTATTTTGGACTTATTTGAAAAACGATAAACGGAAAATATGTTTCTTTTATCTATACTACCACCCTTTAAAATACTTGAACTTATTTCTGGGACACCCTGTATAATTGTATAGCAACGCAGCTAGGGTTCACCAAAAATTTTTTTCTTTGACCATGAACATATCGTTCACGATGATGAAAAAAATCTAGTTTTAAGTTTCAGATCTTAATATCAATATTAAGAAGTGTCTCATAGTGATTTTCTATTTCCCATTTAAATAACAAGGAAAACATTGTTTTTGAAATTTTATTGCGTTCTAACAAATCAGCGTATTGTAAAAATCAATACATATTCTTGTAGAAAATTGAACGGTCTTCAAAAAAGGTCTGATATGATATTTCATTTAATCTACTCGCTTGAAAGTTATTGAAGGTTAAAGTTCAACTTCAAATCGTTTTTAATCACTTCCACAATTGTTTATATTTTATCACGAAAAAATGGCCCAAAAACATAAAATATTCTATTTTTCGTAAAGTTGGTCAAGTATTCTTTGGTAAAACATTAAAATTACAATAATTAATAATTATCTCTAATTAGAATAATAATTAGGTATCATCCTGATTCAATATATTTATCATTTACTTTTAACTACGACTGTCCAGTAATTTTAGTTTTATTGTAATTTGGTTTTCTTTTTGGTTTAATTTAGGTTAATTCAAACTACCCTCCAAACGAGATGTACACGCCTCTTCCAAGGGCAGACATGAAGCCCTACCACGAATCGTACTTCAGCGACATAAAGCCTCCTGTGGTGCCTTCAGTGTCCGAGGCAGTGGACCAGCGAAGCAGTTTTGTGCCTGAGGGCTTAGCAGCTCGAGTTCTGCCGCCGCCTATCAAGGAAGAAGCAGAGGTTTACGAAAGACGACAGTCCTTTATACAGCAGAGCAACATTTGTCAGTATCCTGAGCAACCGCCTAGTACTGCTACTCATCAAGTACCTGAGGATCCACACCACCACAACCAAGAGGCGGTTAGATCCAGAAAATGCAACGAAGAAGGTAACTGAGTCTTTCCAGTCTTTTAACGAACTTGCAATTTTACTATTTACAAGTTTGGCTATCGTAGTTTAGGTAAATAGTGAATTTGGAAGTTTAGTTGATTTTTTTTCTTGTGGACATAGACAAAAATAGAAGTTTAGAGTTAGTATATTCATTGGGAATTAAGTTGATCGCCAATAAAACAATCGTAAACTCAAACCAAGACCCTGAAATTATAATTTAAGCGATATTTGTTTATTTTTAATATGGGATGTATACTTTTCAATATTTGTCTATCTTTAAAAATGCGGGTAAAATTGTAAGGTAATATAGACTAAAAAGTTAAAATGCTCAAACCAGGGCTCTTAAATGATAATTCGGGCATTATTTTATTTTTTTTAAGCATTTTTAATTCAGAGCATATACAGGGTGTCCCAGAAATAAGTGCAGATATTTTAAGGGGTGGTAGATCTGCCCAAAAGGAACATATTTTCTCTTCACCATTTTTAAAATAAATTGATAATAACCGAGTTATTTTTGAAAATTAAAAAAAATAATGGCAACATTTTGAGAGCCGCCGGCAATAATTGACAATCAGCTCCAAATACCAAGCAATTACCCGTCTTAGCTTGTTCGACGCCCAGTGTTGCCACATCGACTAGAAATATTCAAAAACGACTTGGAGAATTCAGGTTAAAAGTAAAAAAGTTCGTCTATACCTAATAGTATCCCGTTTTCAATTTTCTTTGCGGCTGCGCGAAATAAGTAGGTTATCTGTCATATGAAGAAGCAAAGTTGCCACTGTTGCCATTTATCAAATATCTCTATATACTTTATTTCAATTATACCTCAGGCAACGAATCGCTTTTTAATTATTTATTAGCTGTAAGATATTTTATACATTCAAATTTAGAAATAAGGATAAAACAAAACAAAAAAAATATGTTTAAAACTTTATAACTAATTCCACTTCAAATTATGAGCATTGTATACCATGTTTATAGGACCACTTCATAAGTTGAGCTGTTAAATACGTAGTCTATCTGTCAAACACGTCAAAAGAGAGAGAAAGAAAATTTGGTCCCACCACATCAAAAGAGCCGACGGTTTCTGTCGCTACTCGGCGATCTACTTACTCTGCTTATAGCTTACAGAATATGGATAACGTAGGAGGTGGCAACATTGCATTCTCCCCAAGCACTATAAACAAATTTCTGAACAAGCGGCACTCAAAAGTTTTTCAATATTTTCCGGAAAATATCAAGAAAAATTAAGATTTTGAACATTTTTTTTCTTCGCAACAAAATCTCATAGGCGTGTTTCTTGTGTCGAATTATACTAATTGTTAAAATATTTGCACTTATTTTTGGGACACCCTGTATATACAGGGTGGTCCGAACTGTATTCCGGAAACTTCAGCAGCATATTCTGCAGATAAAAATAATTAAACAAGTTCGTATAAATGTATGTCCTAAAAAATATATTTCTAACCGGAAAATTTCAAGCTAGGTGAAATTGGTGATCTGTATTCGTCCAGTAACGTATTTTTTTGACATACTGACTGCATGCAAGTTTTCTATACCATAGTAGGAGTAGTAAAAAAGAACCATTTATTTACGAAATCGCTTCTATGTGGTTTTAATTCCTAAAACAAGGTGTTGGTAGTTTTGATTTACCTCTTTATTTATATTAACTATAACGGTATCGTCAGTAATAAGATCATTAAGGGCTAACAACCTATAGTTCTATAGTTTCTTAAGAGATCTGTTTAACTTTTGATTAGATAACTTATTGGCAAGCGGGCATCTTGTTGATTTTTTCATCTCTAGTATGCGATTTAGTTATTTGGTGGATGCCAAAAGCTTTTGCCTTTTTAAATTTCGAGTCCGCTTGCCTACATAGTGTTAGTCCTATATTTACTGTAGTTTGTTTGCGTTGATTAGGAGGCAGCACATTTGGGCATGTACAATATAGCGCACGCATAATACCCCTTCCATACTAGATTTAGATGGTCCATTTAATCTTTCGGGGTAAGTAGCTTTGCGCCATTTTTTCTTTTCATTGCCTGCCTAATACGATTTCGATACCGCACACTTAAGATTAAAATTTGCGTTTTTTCTTTTCTTTTTGGTGATGGTTTCCTCTTCAGTTTGATTAGCTTCAGTTTCACATACACACACAAAAAAAAGCTTGCCAAGAACTAGACACGATCAGATTTACCTTTTTTTTTTATTTAAATATTTTGTCGGGGATATATGTACGTCAAAATATACATAATGTAAATAGGTTTATTTGGTATAGCACAATAAGCCTTTAAGAATTTTCTGTTAGTATACAGGGTGGTCCCAATTGTATTTTGAAAACTTCGACAGCATATTCTGCACATAAAAATAAGTAAAAAAGTTTGTATAAATTTGTACTAAAATACTTAGTTTCGGAGATACAGGGTCTAGAAGTTTCATTTTTATTTCGATTTTTTCCAAATAATTTACGAAGTAACGTCAATATTTCGATGAAAATTGGGGTCTGGGAGTTTTTTTCACATGAGAAATTTGATTTTGATGCCAGTATGACTCCTATTTGTAGGGGGCGCCACATACATATTTTTTTGTAGCTCTTTTGTAGAGTAATAACTTTTCGTCTGTACCTGTATTTACACTTCTGAGTGAAAAAAATATATATTTTCGTATTTTTTTTTATGTAAAAATGTCTCTTGGTAAAAACCGCTACGTGTAATGGTTCTCAAGATATTTGGAATTGAAATAGTCAATACTACAATAATAATAGTTATTAGTCTGATATAATACATTTGTGAAAAGATTTTGTGCCAAACATCTGTTTTATCGTTTTTTTTTCTAGAAAAAATCATGATTAGCTTAAAAAAATAAAAAGGTCCCAAAATTATCATTTCTGTCAAATAACTATCTAATCAAAACATGTTCATTTTTTTCCAGTAATGACATATATTGACTATTTCCACTCCAAATATCTTGAAAACGGTTGCTCTTAGCTGATTTTTACCAAGAGACATTTTTTACGTAAAAAATCACGAAAATGTATATTTTTTAGTAGTTTTGTACAGGTAGGGACAAAAAGTTATTACTCTTCAAAACAGTTAAAGCACATGTAGGTGGCGCTCCTTACAAGTAGGTGTCATAATGACATCGAAATCAAATTTCTCATGTCAAAAAATACCCAGACACCACTTTTTATCGACTATAATTCAGAAATTATTTAGAAAAAAACCGAAATAAATCTCCGAAACGAAGCATTTTTCCAAATACAATTCGGACCTCCCTGTATATTTTTAAGCTAGTTTAAAGCTGTTTGTGCTAAACCTCGTTATAAACAGTGGTTGATTTTTTATTATTTCCTCATATCCGTACCTTTTTTAAGTTAATTCTAAATAATTTTCGTTTCTTCTTAGAAGTCGATGTTGTGGAAGAGGAAGGGGAAGAAGCAAAATGGCAGGACAAACTCAGTTCCGGTTTCGATAGACTGGTAGCCTTCGCCTCCACCGAGTTGGACAAAAGACGCCGCTCTACAGACGGCACTGACAGCTGCAACACATCTCCCGATTCCGGCATTGGCCACGGTCTTGGCGACACTCACATAGTCGTCCCTCCCAAGCAGCGCCTCAAACTACACCCCAAGTCGGCCATGTTTAAAATGCCCGTCAGCAAAACCTATCTAGACTCTCCTCCTATCCTTGACCAAGGTCAGGACGAGGCTGGACCTCCGAGGACACCGTCGCCGACCTCGCCCAACCCTTACAACATCCACTTCAGTCCTGAACCCACCAAGAGTCCAACCAGGTTGAACCCAGCCCTGATGAAGTATCAGAGGTATATATAGGACGAACTTTTCTGGGCGGCGGTTACTCAGAGTCATTATAAATCGTTAAATCGGGGGTTTCAAAGTGCGTACGCTGACCAGGGCCGGGTTCAGGTTCTAATCGACCCTGGACATTATATGAATTGGAGCCCGATCGTTCATTTTGCTGGATTTGGTTACCCGGGATATTGGCCAACTTAAATTGAATGAAATGCCTGTACCTCTGTGGCGGATTCATCTTGAAGAAAAGTCCTATGGGTATTTCGCCACTGTAAGAAAATCTACAAAATAAAATAGTTGTTTTTTGTAATAACAAATTTCCCTAACGGACAAAATGTTTTTATATCTCTATCAAATCAAATGGCTATCGCTTCTTTGATTTTAATGAACATAACATAAATTAACATAAGTAAATATTAAAAACAAATAAAAAATAATCATATACAGAAAGTTGAGGCTCTTTGGTTTTATCTTATTTAGTAATTTTTATCAGGTAGTCAAACAACAAACAAACAACGCTTTATTGTGCAAAAAGCCAAAACAGCTTCATCAACAAAGCACTCACAATACAAACAAAAGCACAAAAAAAATATACAAACAACAAAAAATACATAAAACAATTCAATAAAATTGAAGTCATTCAAATTACAAAAAGAACATACATGAATATGCTGGCGAAGCCTCCGGAGCACAGCCCGGACCACCCGGTATAGTGTTCCATTACAAAAAAAAACAACTCCGATGCGCAACCCTCCCCGGGGACATCCTGTAGAAGTCTCTACGCCTTGAAAAAAATGCTCCAAACTAACCCACACAGGCCACCAAAATCTCACTTCGACCAAAGTACCGCTCCGCATTGCAGAACAGTAAGCAGTAAATAAATATAATTTTAAGAGTTATAAAATATTAAATACTTGATCTTTGACCAGTGTGTGAGATGATCAAAATTTTAAAATTCAAAATTGTTCATAATTAAACATCAACAAAAAAGTCGTTTACCGCATATAGGGCTCTCTCCAGTAAGTATGATTTTAAAGCTTTGCGAAATGCGGGAAAGAATGAAAGCGACTTAATATTCAAAGGCAGATGATTGTACATTTTTTTGGCATTGTACAGTATTGAACCTTTAACTCTTTGAATAAGAAGTCTAAGGAAGGAGCATAATGCTATCCATGTATTCATGCATGGTGGGCGGAAAAAGCACTCTAGGGTGGGGATCTTTGACAGTTCTATTTGACGATTCATTTGACACATTTGAATTTGATTTGAAATTTTGTGGATTTGTCAGTCTTTACGGCGCTTATTTTATGTTATTTATTATTTATTCTACTACTGATGGTTGTATAAAGGTAGTAAATCTAGATGGAAATTGTGGCAGAACTTAAATTAACAGTGACACTATCGCGATTTATCGAAAAAGACTCTAAAATAGTTGGTTGTGTAACGTGCGGTATATCTCGGCAAAAATTGAGTGAAATAATGGAACAACTTTTCGCTAGTAAGTGACTATATAATATACATACGTGTAGTAAACCGATCATTTATGAAATTCACTTAAATTAACTAAATTATATATTTTTCTTGCATTTTAGCTTTTATTTACTACTTGTCAAAGATTAGATGTCAAAGAATTTAGATACGTTAATTTGACTTACCTGCTTCAGTAGCGTATCGGATGTTTGTGTTAATAAATACTTATATAAAACTTATCTATATTTATTTCTATTAAGAAGGAATTAATTTACAATTTAAAAAAAAATCATAAAAATCTAAAGAGTGGTTCGTGAGAAATCCAACTTTGAAATTGGGACTAGTTTCTAGTGGCCGATTTTTTTTGCCGGTTAGTTTACTTCCCGAAACGTTAAGCATTTTTTGTCCGTTAGGCAAATTTGTTTATTAGTAAATCACTATATTAACAAGTTGGTCTCTGTTGGATTAACTCAGCAGTATTTACAAAAAAAAACTATTTTATTTTGTAGATTTTCTTACACCCATACGACTTTTTTGAAAAGATTAAATTGTTGTGTTCATTTTTTTTTAAATTATTTTTATCTAATCCATTTAGTATCACTTTTGGAACTGCAAAAATTGATGACAACATTCTTATTTTGCCATACGTAGGAAATGTATTTGTAATATTAATTTATGTAAAGAAATTTTAAGTAATGAGAAATTAGACTATTTTTCTGGCAAAATATGAAAGTTAATTAATTTAAGCCAAAGCGATAACTAATTGAACATTTCAGCAAAATACGGTGATTTACTTGAGCGTTAGTTTTTTGATGTCGTCAAGTTTTCATGTTGATTATAGTTTTATTCTTAATTTTTTTTAACACATATTTAAATAATTATTTTTTAGGCTGATTTATTTATTTGTTTTGTTTCTTCATACATATATATTTAAACGTTTTATATATACATTTTTTAAATATATTACACTAATTATCATTTCTGTTTTTTACAATGAAATAAACTGGTCATAGGTAATGTACAATTTTAATTTATGATGTGTAAATGTGGATTTATTGATTTCAACTAAGTTTATAATGACCGAGTCGTAATAAGGGGGTTGATCTAAAGGTAAAGGATTTGAAAATTCCACTATCCATAACTCATGCCTCTAAAATATTTCTTATGAATTCATACAGTAGTTTGTGTGTAATTCTATTAATTGAGCATGTTAAAAGGTTATCCATTACTATTTTAAATACAGGGTAAGTCTTAAATAAGTGAAAATTTGAAATTTTTTGAAAAACGGTAAAAAGAAAATATTCTATCAGCCCTGGAAATATTTGCACTTATTTAACTCCCCTGTATATTTTTTAATTAAAAATACTTCTTCGTATCTAACTCGAGTTAGTAACACTATTTTGATTTTTTTTAACTTTATACAAATCCGTCCACTGTCAAATTCTTTTTTTATCAACCAAAACGATATTATTTCAGAAAAAAATCGTTCTTACCTAAATATTTTAAATTTCGTTTCATGGAGCATGGTTATGGTAAATGGATTTTTTCTGAATAGTCTAATTTATAATTTTAAACTAACTGCCTTTAAATAAGTTAATTGAAAATGCCCATGTCACGTGCCTTCTCCCTTATTAACTGTAGTACCGTTAACTAACCATATGTATATGCCCAAAAAGTTCCTTTAATACAATTTTTGTGTATTTATTTAACTGTACATATTCAAAGTTCTAAAATGATTTACAGCATTTAAAAACTTTTTGGTCATATGCAGGTATTTTTCTGTGAGTTAGCTGTATTACAAGAAGTAGCAAAATTGTGCCTGTCTGCCTTTTTGTTTTAGCCAAAGTCATTTTTTTTGAATTTTAACAAGAAATTTAGAGTTTAAATTATTTTATTTTTCCAGAAAACACCAAAGTTTTACAATATACAATATAAAAAAAATGAAACGATTTTACGACTGAAAGTGCATGTTCATTGGTGTCATCTAAATTGTGAAGTTATGTAAAAAACCTTTACACTGAATTTTTAAAGTATTTTTGGATGCAAATCCAAAAATTGTGAATAAAGACTAGGCTAAAGTTTTATGTTATTAATTGTAAATATTCATAGCGTCATCACTGCCAGTTATTTAATAAACACATATATATATCATAGTAAAATATTTTTGTTTTAGTATTGTCTCGTTTGTTTATCCATAAATTCGACTTTCCTAAAGCGTTCTGTCTGTTGAAAGAGTATTTTTCGATCTAAATCTGAGATACTTGAAATGTGAATAAAACTAGATTAGTATCTGTATGTCATTAAGTTTGTAAATAATAGTATCGTCACTGCCAGTTGTTTAATAAACACACTGTACAATAGTAAAAATTTGGTTTCATTTAGCTCTGTGACCCTACAAATCTGACGACTCGTGTACTTGTACAAACATTTGTTATTGGCATATACCGTATGATCGAAAAAAACGGCGTCCATTTGGCTGGGAAATGACAGTCGATGACATTTCCCGTATAAATTTACCATATATATGAAATTTACATATAAAATGACAGCGATCTTCATTTCATAGCCATCGCTGACGCATTTTTTTCTCGATCGTACGGTACTTGCCATCTGTGAGCAGTTATTTTTGTCACTAGTCGAGCCTCGTGAGCGTCAAGCTTGTTGCAAAAAATGTTTACAAAGATAGTATACTTGCCAAGTACGCAAATATTGGCGTACTGGCCAAGTACACGAGTCGTGAGAATCTGCCTTTAGATTTAGCATTTGGTTGCCAGTGGCGAATAACTAAATATACAGGGTGTGTCAGAAATAAGCGCAAGGATTTTAAAGGGTGGTAGATATCGTCAAAAGATTCATCTTTTCTATTTGCCATTTTTAAAATAAATTGAAAATAGCCGAGATATTTAACTTTAAACAAATAATGCTAACATCGTGACAAAACAATTTTCCAGAGAATGTACAGTGGTACTCAAAAAGTTCTTCAATATTTTCCGGAAAATGTCAATATAAATTTTTCAACTTTTTTTTGCGCAAAATAACGCATGGGCGTGTTTCTGGGGTCGAACTATACTACCAGTTAAAATATTTGCACTTATTTCTGACACACTGTATATCGCCCATGCGAGAAAGAACGTGAAAGTGTTGATCTCATAAAAATAAAATAAACTAATATTAAAGAAATTGTCTTTATTAACAAAATAATCTTAATGATGAACATAGTCTCTCTAAATTGTCATATTAAAAAACAGTAATATACTATTTAGATTTCTATGACAACTCTTTATATTACTTCACACATATCCACTCAAACAGAATTAAATAAATATTATAAACTAATTTCAGTGTTTCTTCGTAGGTTTATTTAGTTTTTCATATGTATTTTTACTGTTAAACCATAAAGCAAGAGGAATCACTAATGATGGTGATGTCATGAGTGCAAATGCAAGCCAGTCCCAATAGTGAGCAGAGAATTTCTTGTCATAATCACGGAATGCTACTATTCCGCCCTCTCCTGGTTCACTACTGTAAGAAACTTGGACCTATGAAAAACAATTATAGTCGATTAATAAATACACTTTAAAATAATTCTATCATTACTAACCTTGGCGTTAATATCATCAGATGATCTGTAAGTAACTTCAGCACTAGTAAAATTAAAGTAACCATATCTTTTTGGACGAACAACAACTACATGAGTAAAGTTAGATTCTGGGGGTATCCTCTGAAACCTGGTATTTAAATGTCCACCAACAATCTCGAAAGCTTCAGTATTGAATCCATTATCAACTAATTGAACATTTACAGCTGGTGCCTTCCCGATATTGTGAATGGAGTATTTCACCTCAATATCTTTCGTTTCAACCAAGTATCTATTAAGAATTTGTTTAGACACTAGTAGCCTGGCCCCCAGGTTCTCTTCTTGCTTTTCTTCAGCACAGTATGCTAAAGTAGCAAGTAGTAAAATCACAATTTTCTTGATCATGTTCTAGAAAAAAACAAAAATTAAAATATAAAACAGAAAATACTATAATTGCTATTTAATAAAATTATTAATAATGAAAGAAGGGTAATTTGTTTTCATCTTACCTTGTTCACTGACGAATTAAATAAGACCTAGCTATCTCATTAACCCAAAAATACAAGTTTCATAGAAAAAATCGCCACGAAACAATCTCACCGCCACGTTTCTGTCAGATTTGGAGGTGGTTTAGTGACGTGTAGCTGTCAGGGTTGTGGCACAATATAGGAATGTGCAAATATATCGATATCGATAATTTGTATTAGTATGTCTGGTTGCCTATACGTAAGGAAAATGATAGTGACATATAAACTGTCACTTAGCAGTTTGGAAATTACATTTTTAAATGGATCCGCCCCCTTGTCCATCAAAATTAAAACGTTTTAGAAAAGTGCTGTTCTCTGAAGGAAAATAATTCATTTCAATATATTTGATTTGCTAAATATTATTACCATTATCACTACTACGATCGACGAGCCAAAACCAGCAGCAGTAGGATGAGACGGGTCAGTTAGATGGTGGAGGTTAAGTGCATTTGCTGTGAATGTTTCACTAATACACTTGTTTACTTTTTTTCCGTTTGACCGTGTTATGTGCCCTTTAGCTTACTTTGTAAATAATATAAACATAATATTGGAATGATTATTTTATCATGATGACAGTTGACTTTAACGATTATTTTTGGGTGAGTATTTTGAACTAACAAGCTTGATATATGCACAATTTATACTACAAGTTACATTTAATTAAATACTCTTGATTACTATGTAATTTCCTGTTTTACAGGGTGAAAAAAACAATGGATTTGATGTGTTATACCATAACATGAAATTTGGTTTAAGTGCCAGTAAAGAATTTGCAGAATTCGTTAGGGAAAGGTACATTTTTTTATTACCAATTAGCTAGATTACAACTGATGAATAGTTAACCTTATAAAGAGATCTAATTGTAACAACCGTACATATGTACTAGATGGATGCAAATTTAACCCGAAGGTTGCTCTACCTTTTAAATTAATGTTAATCAGTTCAGTGCTTGAGAATCACAAAGCCATTATTTTATTGTTTTAATTTAAGAAATCTTTTAGGTCAAACATAGAAGAAAATAATTCAAAACTCTTGACAAAGTTAGCAAAACAAGCAGGTAGTTGTTGTTCACAAGGAACATTTGCTCCACTATGGCAAGTTTTAAAAGCTTCTGCAGAGAAGCTGTCATCCTTACACTTCCAAACCATGCAGAAATTAGCAGACTTAGTCAAAGAAGTAGGCAAATATGCAGACGATCTTCACAAAAAACATAAATCTGTAAGTATGCTATTTATATATTAAGTAGGTACTAAGAGAGGGTCTATTAAAGGTAAAGGAAGAAGAATCTGGAACACTGGATGTTGTACAAGCAATGCAAAATGTAACACTGAACGTACAAAAATCCAAAGATGTTTACAATCAAAGATTTTTAGAACTAGAAAGGTTAAGGAAAGAAAGCACTTCAGCTAAAGATATAGAGAAAGCTGAGCAAAAGCTAAAAAAGGCACAAGAAGATTATAAAAATTTCATAGAAAAATATAGCACTATTAAAGAGGATTTTGAGAAAAAAATGTCGTTAAGCGTAAAAAACTTCCAAGACCTTGAAGTCAGTCATTTGGTGAACATGAAAAAATTTTTAAATTCTTTTGCCGACGTTGTGGAGTGGACACACGACGAAATGGGTAAAGTTCACAAAGAATTCCGGCAACAGTGTTTAGAATTAACGATCGATCAATTACTGGAACAATTTGTGAAAAATAAATCGACGGGTCTGGAAAGACCAGGTAAATATAATATGATTTTTCCTCAAATTCCTAAATTGACTGTATTATAATAAATACATTTAGGAATCATGGATATTGATGAGCCAGTGATCTCTCCGAATCAAGAAAGTGAACCAACCAGTGCAAAATCATCCAAGAGAGAAGGTAACGGTCATAGCGACCAAACAGTGCCAACACATGCCAAAACTTCTCGTCGAACAACTTCCCTGTTAAATCTCTTCATGTCTAATTCACAGGGTACGTTTTCAAACACCCTATATAATTATGTCTGATGTATTGAGCCTCCGTATCTCACTCTCTAAATTCGCTACTTGTATTTTGACAAAATTAATATAGATTCGAAATTATTTTTCTGAAAGAAGGTTTAATATTGAAGACGTTTCAAACTCAGTGAACAAAAAACGTATGAGTATACGAGGTGGCAGTAGAGACCAGTTTGAAAGTTAACTTTCGGTTTGGGCTGTCTTTTTTAGGTTCTCGCGAAAGCAGAGCAGGCCCCTGCAGCGCACCGTCGAGCCCCACAAGTCCCGAGGGCGGCCAACAGTTAACTCGCCACTCTCAGCGCGGATCTAAGTGTAAATCTCAAAACTATCTAACTTTTCTCTCTCTATTTCTTATTATTTTTTACTCTTGTTGCCACTTTTATTGATTTTCTATTCTAGAATATACCAGGTTTTGTTTATTATCTTTTTTTTAATGCATCTACAGAGAACATTTTTTTTAGGGTTTTGTCTTTAGTTCTGGGAAGTGTGAATAGTATTTTTTTTAGTCTATTTCTGGAGGTAAATCAAATAAATAAACGTAGGGTATTTACAGGGTGTTTCAAAAAACATGTGCCATCTCTCGTAAAAATAAGGTTTATTTTTCATTTTCGTAGCTACAGGGGGATAAGGTCTTCTAAAGTGGTGGTCATTTTTTTTTAATTTATTATAATTTAAGTAGAATCGGACCCTTGTTGATATGAAAAATAAATCTTATTTTTACGTGAGGAATTTCCCCACGAGAGATAGCACATATTTTTTGAAACACCCTATATATTGTAAAAAAAAATAAAAAGTTAGTTTACTTAAAGCCCCTTTTACACGTAACGATTTAACTGTCAGGCAAGACTGGTAAAGGTCAGCGTACACGCTGGAAGTTTTACTTGCTGTTTTATCAATTATAGCATTGTTTGTTGTGAAGTTGTAAAGCAAAAACACGCCTGGCTAAGTGTAATAATCCCTAAACAATTTTGAAAAATTACATTATTTTGTGAAACTATGCAAAAATATTAGATTTTTAAAAGTCACTTATTAGAGATGCTTTAATATATCTAAATTATATTTGGTAAGTTTACTTTTTAATATAATATTTAACGCTATGTGTATACAGGGCTTTAAGTTTAATTATTAATTTCACAACCTGTAACTTTAATTTCTTTTTATAAAAGAGGAATAGAAATTTATTTAAAAGACCACTCTATATTTCTCTTGATTTATTTTTAACAATTCTCTTTAATTTACTTTATTTGGTAGGGGCGGAATGATTTTTTTTAATTTCAAAATTAACTTATTCCAAATTAGATGTCGCATGCACTCCTAGAATTACTTATGGTACTGGTCGATGGATTTATTTATTTTATATATTATTATTTGGTTTTGTATTGGTGGCGGGTGTCCAAATTGCCTGGGAATGCTTTATTCTGTAATCAAGCTTAGATCCTGTTCACATTTATTTTGTTAATGTCTTAGTTTAACCACCTGTTTATGTTTAAGATTTTTGTTCGACGTTTTGTTGGCAAATTTTCCCAATTTTAACACACCACTTGTGCTTCACCCTCACACCACATTTTAAAATACATTTTCCCGATGTTCTCCAAGTATTCTCGATAAAAACAGAACATTTTTAGGGTTTTTGCGTAGCAGGAGGGACAAAGCCAAACAGAAAAAGTCGAAGAAGAAACAGGCCAAGGACAGTATCGATAATCAAAGCAATAAAGAAGAAAAATCTGATGCGTACGTAGAATTATTTTCTTTTAAATTCCTTTTATCTCTTGAGTTCATGTTGAAGGGAGGAAAAAGACGATTCTCAAAAGAGCGACAGGGTTGTAATGCCCGTCAGCACAGGCAACCAAGAAGTTGATGAAGACGGTTATGTCATAAGACCTACAGTGGCTCACGCGTGGAACGAAAAGAGTAGTTTTTATTCTTCATCTGACTCAGATACAGGTAAAATTAATAAAAAAAAGTTTTGGGGCTCTTTTTAATTAAATAATTATAATTTTAATTATAAATAATTATAATTTTAATTATAAATAATTATAATTTTATTATAAATAATTATAATTTAATTATAAATAATTATAATTTAATTATATATAATTATAGTTTAATTATAAATAATTATAATTTAATTATAAATAATTATAATTATTTGTAAATAATTATAATTATTTATAATTAATTATAATTTTAATTATAATTAATTTTAATTATAAATAATTATAATTTAATTCTAAATAATTATAATTTAATTATAAGTAATTATGATTTAATTATAAATAATTATGATTTAATTTATAAAACATAATCCAGCGTTTTCGGAACCTAATCTCCCAAGAAAATTAATGTAAGAATATTTCGGTACAAGGTTCAAGGAACTTGAAATTTACAAGAATATTATATATTTACAAGAATAAATTATTATAAATAATTACATTAATAATTATTATTATATTTATTATAAATTTACAAGAATATTATATTATTATGTAATATTAGTATCAGAGCTGCAACAAGTCAATTTTAAAAAGACTTAAATCTTAAGTCTCAAGTCATTTCTAAAATCAAAATGATTTAAATCTTATAATATACTATGACGGTAGCGAGTGTCGTTGTTGTCAAATTTATCATAAAACTATATCAAAACTCTTTGGCTTAAATTTCATCTAAAAATACTTAAATCTTTTAAAAAAATTAAACCTTTTTTTAATGACTTAGGTCTTTTTAAATTCCGGAATAAAGGCTTAAATCCCAAATAATTTTGAAAATAACTTAAATTTTAAGTCAGTTTTCGAAATATGACTTAAAATCAAATGACTTAAGTCATTAAAATGTTTTAAATAAAAAAACTTAAGTTTTCTGTAAGCTTGCAGCTCTGATTTAGTATCCAGTGGTATTTTACAAGAAATAAATGTTTTTATAAATAACTTTTTTCGCGATAGGATTTATAGAAACGAACAATACAGTTTGAAAAGCTTTCTTACAAAAAGAGTTCCTAATAAAAATCGGCTTTTATTATTAGCCGTAATAGTTGTTGTCCAGCACGCCTCAGAATAGTACCGTGTACCTATTAAAGTCTTTATTGGAGTAGCAAAAAAATTTAACGACATAATAGTGGTCCAATTGAGGCACGCTCTTTACCGTGATATAAATAAAAGTTTGGCAAGACCCGAGAGCCCTATACTTTCGCGATGCGCTGCTTTAAAACCTTTTTCGTCGATTACTACCAAAATAAACGGCCCTACACCTTGTTCGTAGATGACGATCGCGAAAGGAAAATCCACGTTGAAATCAAGCCTCTCAATAATGGATCTGCGCCTATATCAGCGTCGGTGGATGAACTCAGAGCCACCGTAGGCAACATCTATCTCACTCCGACTGGATCTTTTGGATTTAGGGGACAGAATTTGGACGGGGACACCATCAAAAGGTCTCAGTCGGTTTCCCAGCAGCTGGGGAAGCCCAGCAGCGATTTGTTGGGCTTGAATTTCGTTCAGAGTCCAACGGCGTCCAATGCTTCCACTCCAACTAGTTCACATCCGTACGCACCGCTTCAAAGTCCATCTCAGTTGGCTCTGAATTCGCCAACTTTGTCCGTTGGATCCAAATATACCGGTAAGTCAGAGTCTTTATGTAATTATAAGAATTATTTATAAGTACAGTTCTCTACACTAAAGTCTAATAATATTTTTGGTGATTCTTCATTAGTTTTACATATAATATTGTCATTATCATCATTTCCAGCTATGCTGTAGCCTCTCTTACATATTTTGATTATCTCTAATCAGAGATGTGACTTATTTCAGATACAAGTATTTCAAATTTATACTAATATCCTTCTAATATATAAAATCCTGAAGTGACTGACATACTGATTAATCACGATCCTGCTCAAACCACTCACTTGATTCTAGGGTGTAGAGGTTCGATAAGAAGGGATTTTTCGAAATTCCAGTTCAAGAGGGTGAAACCACCCCTCAAATATTAAAATATTTTTTATTTAAAAACGGTCAAGTTTCCGAAAAAACGCTTAAACACGTATATTTTATTTTGTTTTTTTTACATATTTTAAGATTTTTAAAAACGTATACAGGGTGTTTCGAAAAATCTGGTCATTGATTAATCACGATCCTGCTTAAAGCGCTTCACGTAAAAAGCTGATTTTTGGAAAACAGATTGACTTTAGGGTGTAGAGTAATATAAATATTTTATTTTATTGTTTTACATTTTTTTAGATTTTTTATAAATTTATACAGGGTATTTCATAAAATATGACCATTGAGTAATCACGATTCTGCTTAAACTGCTTGACGTTTAAAGCTGATTTTTGGTAAACGGATTGACTGTGGGGTGTAGAGGTTCGATAAGGAGGGGTTTCTCGAATCTCAAATTCCAAGAGGGTGAAAACGCCCCTCAAATATTACAATATTTGTTATTTAAAAAACCGTTAGTTTTTCGGGAAAACGCTTGGACAAGCATAATTTATTTGTTTTTTTTTTTACATAGGTATTTTGAAATTTTTTAAAAATCATACAGGGTGTTCCAAAAGTTGGGTAATTTCTTAACCACGATTCTGCTTAAACTGCTTGACGTAAAAAGCTTATTTTTGGCAAGCGGATTTTTCGGAAGTCAAATTCCAACGAGATGAAACTACCCCTCAAATATTACCAAGTTATATAATAATATCGCCATATTGTTTTTCTCATGCTGACATAAATGTGAGAAACTTTGATCCAGTTTTTATGTTAATGGAAATTCTTGCTTTGCTTTATCATGGCAAGCGGATTTTTCGAAAGTCAAATTCCAACGAGATGAAACTACCCCTCAAATATTACCAAGTTATATAATAATATCGCCATATTGTTTTTTCTCATGCTGACATAAATGTGAGAAAATTTTATCCAGTTTTTATGTTAATGGAAATTCTTCAAAAAAAAACAAAATAAACATTTTGAAAATTACAACATTCTTATTCTTTTGTATCTATCTAGTATTAATGGATTTCATTCTTTAAAATGAAATGGGTGCCAAAGTCATTTTACTTTAAATTTAAAATTTTTAAAAATAAAGGCAAAGACCAATCTTATTACATCTTTTTAGAGCACTCTGATTCCTCTGTTGCAAGTAGCGATAACATGGGGTCTACTGACAGCATATTTAACTAAAAAAACATACTCAGATTCACACGATTCTTGTTCAGAATTATTATTTAACTTTAAAAATAAAAAAGGTTTTTTGTCAAAAAATATTTTATTTCAATAGAAGTATTTAAAAAATAGTTTTTTCAGGCACCCTGTCTATTAGCTGTTTCTTTTCCTATTTCATTATTCCAACATATCCCATTCCGATAGCCAATTGGTTTTCCAGTTTGTGTTATCCATTTTTTTGTTGTTTGTAATTTGGATGCTTGTTGTGTATTTCTCTGGCTAATAATCTTATTTATGCTGTTAATAGAATTAGGAGATTTGTTCTCTGAAGATAATGAACTACCTCAGCCACCAACCAAGCAACCCAGTCGTCAGACATCGACTCCAACCTCAGGATACATGTCTATACCGCGACCTCCATCGCGTAGATCTGAAGCAAACAGGGGATTGATGCAACAGCAGTCTAGCAGTATTACTCGAGCTGACAGTATTAACAGCTTGGAATTCCGCACGGCCTGTGTACCTGTTGGGGTATCAAGGGGTCCATCTCCTTTGACCATTGGAATGGCAGACACCATTCCATTAGCTGTAGCCTTCCACGAGATCGTTCACACTTACTTCCGAGGTGCCGATGAATCCAGGTATTTTTAAAAAGGTTTTTTTAGTTGTGTATTATTTGAATTTTAATCAAAACTTTACTTAACCAGATGCCAAGTGAAGATGTCAGGCGAAATGATGTTGTCCTTCCCAGCAGGAATCGTTACTATACTAGCCAACAACCCAAATCCAGCAAAATTAATATTTAGAGTTAAGAATACTCAGAGGTTGTCTTCGGTTTTGCCTAATACTCAACTTGTTTCACTGTAAGTTTTGAAATTTTCATTAATTTTTTTATGAATTAATAATTTCAGGGACCCTGCACAATCTTCGACGGAGTATATTGGAGTGGAGTTCAATATGAATGCTTTAAGTTCCTTGTTAAAGAAACAATCAGAACAAAACCCTAGTGCTTCATACTTTAATGTAGATATATTGAAATACCAAGTAAGTGTTTTATCAGGTACATTTCAATACATTTTTAACTCTTCAACACTTGACACTACACTTAAACTTAACACTATTCTCGCTATTTTAAATAATAGGACACTCCTCTAAAAGAATTTTCGCTGTGAAAATTGAATGGCGATAGTTTACTTTAAAAAAATGCGATTTTTTCAAATGTATTAAAAGAAGGAAACAACAAAAAAAAGAAAGAAAAAAAAACCTCAAAAACCTAAAACTGCATCTCTTGCACAGGAACCACTTATATGCTCACTAACCTGAAACAACAGAAACCATACTTTAGTTTGATACATTTTAGGAATTTCATTTTTTTTATTCATTTTAACCATTTTTTTTTCAAGTAAAATATTACAAACCTAACATTATCTTTTGTGTGCCTCCCTGTAAATGACATGCTCCGTTCACCTGCTGGTATCCCCAAAATCAAGCCCAATCGGAACCAGGCTGCAATATACAATGTGGCTGCTAAGTATAATTACCATATACCCTGCAAAAAAGAAAAACAATTATAAAAAAAAGTTAAACTCTTAATCATAAAACATTTCTGTAATACAGTAGGTATAACAACCTGTTTGGAACATTAAAACAATAAAGCGAGACAAAAGAGTTCTCTATCAAGTTTACTTACATTTTTAACAGAATTATAATATGTTTTTGTTGTTTCCTGCAGTATTATTGGTCCATGGCTTATTATACCGATCAAGAAAAACGATTCCATCACTCACATCTCTCGAAAATCAAACATTTGGGGTAACACAGCTCAGGGTATAAATTCTTAAGTCCTGATGAACTTTTCAAAGTTTAACACGACTCGAAAACCATGATAAACTTATCTAAATCCAACATAATTGGAAATCCTTATCCTACGTCCATTCCTTGTCGCGGCGCGACCGATACAAGAGCGAATATAGCGATTCTCGTGACCCCATACATTACAAAACGTAGTTTGACAATTAATCTTTGCTTTTCACTCGAAATTTGGACTTTTAGTTACGTTTCAACACTAAAATCTCGTGTAATAACTAAGAAAGAGACTCGTTTTTTGAAAGGACGCCCAAGATGGCTGCCCTAGCGGAAAACAAATGAACATCGTGTGAAGCGCCACCTATCAAAAAACGATTTAAGTTTTAGAATTGATAATTTCTAATTTTGTTTTAAAACGTAAAAAAATGTTGGAGCTGAACATTTTTTATTAGTCTATTTATATTTATTAAAATAAATTAAATATAATATTTTAAAAATATATAATGAAACGGGAAAATGAATTAAAAGTAAATCTACAGTTATGTAACCAGTAATACATCTTCGGTAACGTATTTAAGGCCTACATTCATATAAATAAATTAATAATAAATAATTTTAACTAATCATGTATTTCTCTATTTCAGATTAAATCTAAACCAGGTGCAAACTCCTGTCCGTTGCAACTTGTCGCTTATTGGAAGTGCACCAATCTTCATACTGATCTAAAGATAGATTACAAATATAATTTGCATGCCATGAGCTCTCCTACACCCCTCTTAAATGTAAACGTAGCAGTACCTATAGAGGGTAGTTTGAAAAACATACAATCTAAACCTCAAGCTCAGTGGTAAGTTCAGTTAAAAAAGTATATAATACTCGATGGAACAGTTTTAAAACCTTTTTAGGCCTACAGAAAACAATCGAATATTATGGAAATATACTGAGCTCTCTCAACATTCGGAAAATAACGGTGTGGGATCGATGTTGGCCAGGTATGATGTTGAAAATGGTTCTGGCAGTCCGTCTACCATCAGTGCCCAATTTAACTGCGAAGGGACAACGTTATCTGGCATAGATTTCCAGCTGGTAGGGGCAGGGTATCGCTTGTCTTTAGTAAAACGCAGATTTGTGTCTGGAAAGTATATTTGCGACGGAGATAGAATATATGGATCTGGAACAGCCACGCCTAATGCAAGTACCCTGTCTTCAGCCCCAGAACCTAACTGCTAGCGGTCTTGTAATTTTCGTTTGAAACCTTTTTGAAGAGCCTTTGTTCTCTAAAATTCCTAGTTCCATTACCTATACATGACATATAGTTTATGATGCTGTTTTGTAATCATATACAGATTATAATTATTATATATGATGTGCCAAAAGAGTTTTTTATCTTTGAGATTCTTTCCCATATATCACAAACCTTTTTGGCACACCCTGTATATCCCAAATTTACAAATAACGTTGATATTGATATTTCTTCTTACCTTTTTACATTTATGGATATCATATTTTTGAGTTTGTAGTTTATTTACTTCGTTTTTCATATATGTATGTATATTTGTGAAAATTAAATGCACCTAAGATTCACCATTATTTAACCCAGTTATTTCGTATTGGATAGATATGCAAAATATTTACGTAAATAATCAAAACCAAAAAAAATATATATATGTTTCTTAAAGGAGTAGTTTCTTTTTTTGATTTTTTTATAAATGATTATATATTTTCATTTTCTAAAACAATGGTGCAGTGATACTATTGTAATGTTTGTATTTCTATATATTGTATTGTTACTATTTTTGCTTAAAGAAGTAAATAATAATAGGATAAAGAGAGTTTTATTTAATTATTTAATAAAGGATTTAATTTAGAGTGTTTTTTTAGCAAAGTTAACTTGAATTAGTTAAATATAATATGTTTTCAACAACAGTTTGAATATTCCAAAGGGTATTATTGTTAACTATTATATCAAAAATTGTATACGTTAAGAGAATATTCATTCCTTTATAAGAGCTTTTCAACGATTTATGTTTAATTAATGAATTTAAATTACCAAAACCTTGTTTTACTGGTTGCCTATTTTGTTTAATATTTTTCTATACTTCATTAAAACATATATTCCAGATTTAAAATGTTTTATTTTACAGTATGTTTCGTATTATTACCTCTTCCTAAATTAATAAATGAAACTATATATAATATTCCTTCAAAAACTAATTTTTGCTGTAAAAATTATTGAGAAAATAGCGAGAAGGTTTCAATTATATAAAAAATATAACTTCTTACTAATAATTTATTACTGATCTACCAAATATTATTTATATACACATACACAGATAGTTAAAAATATTTATACCGGTTACAGAAAATCCTTATGTGAACTGAAATTTGCGTTGGTAAAATTATCTTATATTAATTAAAGCAATTAGTACATAGAGCAATCTTATTGTAATATACATAGGTACAATTTCATCTTCTATTTCTTTTATAGGTATTAAAAATACTGTGTTAGCTAAAATCTACATGTGTTAATAGAAATCATGTACATATCAATACCTATTAAAATAGTAAATATATATTAGATATATATCAAATTCTTAAAAAATATCAACAGATAATTTACTTGGCTAAGACATTTCAATTTATATATTTTCCACTCTTAAAACAATAAGATTTATAACAAAAATAGAGAACGTTTGTAACCAAGTGTATGAAACACATCTTTATAGAAAGTCACAGCCAAAGAACTTTAAGCAAAATTCTATTTTACGCATTACTTGATCCAGTTTCTGGGATTATAACAACTTGTGCGGATGCCCCATATAATGTTGGCGATGCACGATCTATATGACTTTCTATGCTACTAGAGCTCAACAAAACTGGAGCTATATATTCTTCTTTGACTGCGGCTGAGTGAGATTTTGATGCTGAAGCGCGCTTGCACGAGGGATAAGGACTGACAAAGAAGAAAGAGAATATTGTTACACAGATGCCCAACAGCATGACCAAAGTCATCGAATTTAATCCTCCACTCTCTCTTATGAAGAAAAAAGCTGCCAGAATCATTTGACATAGTATTATGGCTATCCTGACCATTATTACAGCACCAGCATGTATCTGTTGACCTTCACTGGACATAGTGATAGGTCTATACACATAATATATGTTGTATTTATCAACCAAGTGTTTGAGGCTAAGATACAGTAAACCAAAAGGTGTTATCAAGGGGCAAGTTAAGCTGTACACTGTGCAGATTGTAAATATTAGGAGGGTCCATGCATAGTGTATTCCAAAAGGAAATTCGGACAAGATTTCTTTACGAATGGTTGCCTTCTCTGCGACAGATTTGATGCAGGACAACCTCAAGGCATACATGGCTAGTTCAGGAAATCTCAGTAATTCTAAAGCTGTACCAATTAGGGCAGATGTAATAACATAATTAACAAAAAATGCACCTTTGTCGGCTAGGAAAATGCATTTCCATCTGACAGTCTGATTTTTTGTTTGTAGGGACCACTCAACAAAAGCTTGAGCACTAGTAAGCCCTAAAGATGGTAAAATTAAAACCATAAATAATAAAAACCAAAAGGTTTTGATCATTGTGGCATGATTTTGTTTGGATTTAGTCCAGTGGGACATCCATTCATCTGAGTAGGCTACAAAGACAGGCATGACTGCAGACATTGACAATAGCAGCAGTGTTGGTAAAAATTGAGAAAGCAAGGGACTGATTTTATTTAATATATCTCCATGGGCTGTAGATAGTTGATTAAAAATATTAACGAAAATAATTGGAGTTGTTAAGAAGAATAAAATTATAAACAAAACACTGTTAATTATAATTGCTTTAGAATACCAATTTCTTGATGATATTTCCAAATTCTGCCAGTTAATATCTGATGGTGTAGGAGCTCTCCCAACATGCCAATGCCTTAAAGAATCAGCAGAGAATGATCTAATAACATGCTGTGCCATTTCTTCTGTAGCAAAAGTAACAAAAGCAATGCCTAATGGACGCGCCAAGGCATCTCTTCTTTCTGATAAAACTTTATCATTATATTTTTGTTCTTCGCTGGTGTAATAATCAATAGCATTTTCAGTTTTCCATGGACAACAACATATACATCCATACGGCTGTACTTTTAAGTCTGTATTATGAGCATTCTCACAACAATATACCTTAGCTTCATGAATTTTCCTCCGGTCTTTCTCTAATTCCATAAGTTTCTTAACTCTGTATGTAATCTGAATATCTATTATTTCGATTCCTGGATATCTAACGGTAAAATAATTTTTTATATCTTCGATGTTCCGATGAAGTTTAGAAATATGGGAAATCATAATAGTTTTTGAGGACAGTGCAGTACTGCTTGGACTTTTTCCTGAACTTTTGCTCATTATTAGAACAGCCAAAGGGGCCATACATAAACTTGCTATAACATGTAACCATAACAAATTTGAGGAGGGTCCTAAATTACTTAATGTTGTATGACCAAACGTTGTTGAATTACCTTCTAAAGTTCCTTGGAAATTTACAGGCAGTACAATGCATATAGAAAATACTGTTATAACAGTGAACAGAATTAGAAGATGTTTTTGAAAGGATAAGTAGTGTGTAGCATCTGGGCCACATCTTGCATAGACCTTACTTTTTGTTATTTTAAAAATAGAGGGAAACCATAAACACCCTGTATCAGGCATAAGAGAGACATCACCGCTTGTTTCTTCAACAGCTACGGCATCATCGGTGTTCTTGTAAAATAACTGGGTCCATTTTTCCGTATGAACCAGAGCCAATCTGCCATAGTCCCAGGCTCTGTTTCTTAAGACAGCAAAGAGCAGTAAGAGAATTATCCAACATATTAAATTAAGAATGAGGGTTTCGGGTATACCTTCGTATGCATTTGTTATTATCGTTTGGTTCTTTCGTATCGTTAAACAAGTTTCGTCGTCAGTGAAAACAGCATACGGATTTTGAGACATGATTTTGTTATGCGTCTGGAAGAGATTGAAACAAATTAGGCTGCACTAATATAAGTAAAATCATTACTCACGCATTAACACAGCATATGCTATTAAACCATTGTGTTGTTACTGTAAAATAACAGAATTTTGAAGCCCTTTTGGCCTATTTAAATATTGAAAAATTATTTTGTTGACGTATTTTGACAAGGTTGTCAACACTTAGCCACTGATAGAGGAAAAGTAAAATTTTCCAATGTAAATTTCATTTGGTGGTAAAATTTTATAACGGTACATAAAAACACGTATCTGCTAATATTGAAACAAATACTGATATGGCTGATATGTATTTGATCGCGTTCTAAAATTTATCATAATTCTTTAATCGTTTCTGATAAATAGATTTAGATTAAGTAGTTAATTTATGAGTAATGAACTAAGAGATTATTTTCCCTGAATTTACTTATCAATTAGATAAAAATAATAGTATCAATATTGTGTTTCTGTGTTTCTTATCTAGCAATCAAATGTGAATTAATTAATTATATTATTATTTTTTGTAGCAATATAATTATGTTATCTCTCTATATCTATTAGATCCAATGGTAATACTAATCTATGGGTAGATTGTTCTTGTTTGACAGTTGACAGTGACAGTGACGTCTTAGAGGTTAGGATAATTTGTAGGTTTTCAATTAAACTTAAATATTTTAGTATCTTTAATGTTTATTGCGTTATTAAGTCTATATAAATGTTGTGTTATATATAGTGATATATCGAGTAAAAGTTGTAAGTACTATGTTTATCTTTATTTAATAGTTTCTTGTTAGGTTTTTTCAAAATAATTTTTGAATTATGTTTGCTAGTCTTTATAAATAAACATACTTTACAGAAGTGTAGGAAATATGTAGGTAATTTGATATGTAGTTATTTCTTTATATATATATTTCTATTTATTGGTATTTTATTTAGAATTATTACTTATTAACGTTTGATGCAATTTTAAACGAAATGTATTACTGGTTGCATACTGACGTCCATATAACTTTATATTTTTTTCAAAAAATTTGATTTTTTATATTTAAGAGTGGATGAAATGTGAAATATTAAAAGAAAATAAACAGTTTTTTATAGAAATGAATATTCCTTAAGGTTACTTATTCCTTAATTTATAGTAACTCTTGTATATGTCCATAAATCACAAAAGTATTATATGCACATTTAATTAACAAATTTAAATTACATTTTAAATCAGAATACTCCAAGGTGGTATGGTTTTTTTCCGTATTGAATATTCAAAATTGATATATTTGCAAAAAAGTAACTGCAAATGTATCTCTTGTTTATTTTATATTAACTACCTATTTAGGTAGACTATTAAGAACTCTATTAACATATTACACAGACTAACTTACCATAAGTTACTCTGTGCATATCAACTTAAAATAAGATATATTCTCATTAAATATGAAATTTTACATACGACAAGTGTAGTTTGAAGCTCTCCCTCAAAATTATCAACATATAACTTTCGCTGGACTTTACAGTATACAAACTCTATGAAATTTAGAGTATACAAGACTCTAAATTGAACATTTTCTTTATTAAAATTAACACCCAGTTCCTGCAGTTGCGACCCTCCAATTTCATGCTTTTAAATAATTAGAGCGGTTTTAAAAGTGACCCTTTTGAGGGGTGTGATTTTTTTGACACGTCTGCCTTTCTTGATTTGTACTTGACAGTTGTATATATTAATGTATCCATCTATTCAATATGCTTTAATTGCGGTCTTAATCTCCGTGAAATGCATACGGTGGGCATTTATGCATACCTTTTCTATTATACAGGGTATTTTGTTTTATATTCCTTTAATAGATTGTTTATAAACATATCTATCTCACAGATCGTTTGGAAAGAGACTTAAATTTTAATCTTAAGTCAGCCTTCGAAAAATGACTTAAAATCAAATGACTTAAGTTTTCTGTGAGCTTGCAGCTCTGTCTATATGCAAAAAAAATAAAAAAAAAATAAAATTAATTAATTTATTAAATCAGATTTTTTTTTATTTATTAGATTTTTTTTTATTTTAATTCAAAACAATATTTAAATCGGATTTCCAAATGACTAGGACTTATTTCCAATTAAAGTCCTATCCTAAATGGCTAAATCTTTATAACTCTACCCGATACCGATAACATTAACAATTCTACGGCGCGTTCAATGGCAAATTCAACGAGTGTACAAATTGTTGTTCGAGTACTGTTCATATTATTTGCAATGTTTGAAATTGATTAAAAAAATATTTGTAATGTTTTAAAAGAAATAGTATGTTCTATTCGGAGAAAAATGTACTTTTTGTGCCTCCCTGTAACGTAGGAATAGTTTTACGATGGTCCTTCAAAGGTATATCATCGTCAAAAAAAGTATATTTTTTACTCCTAATAAAACAATACACTATTGTTCGGACTTTGCGAATGATATATGTATTCGAACAGCGAATTTTTGTCACTTATACATAAATTTTAAAATAAATCCCTGCGTTTAGCGGTCTAATGGATTCACACGAAATTACTTCAAAAATCGGCCCAACATTTAAATTGATGAATAGATACTTTTATATAGTTTTATAACATTTACATTTATTTTTCGATTTATTATCCGTTATATTTGCTATAGAAATATTTTTTCTAGTTTTCTACGACACATTTTTATAACTTTTACAGTTATTTTTTGATTTATTATAAAGTTTCAATAAATTTATTTTTTTTGATTTAAATCACATGATTAAAATTAAAAAAATCACTTGATTTAAATCATGCCAACCCTGCTCAGAATGGATGTCTTAGAAATAACATTTTTTTTTCAAAAAAAAACTCATGGGTGTGTTTTTGATGTTGAACTATATACTACCGGTTAAAATACTTGCACTTATTTCTGAGACACCGTGTATAATAGAAATGTTTAAAATATATATTTCTTGGAATATACTGACGAAAATGTTATCTTTTAATGTTACAAGGTGAAAATAATTGTTACCATAGTACACATAGCACAGTAATAACAAATTACGTAAAACCTTTGAATATTTTTTCGATATATTGGCTTCAAATTTAATGGAGCGGTTTTCCTGTGATCAATACTAATAATTATATTATGTTACTTATATTATTATGAATCATTCTTAATACTTTCGCTGGTTGTATCAAAGTACATACAGTGTTGCTCAAAAGGCTCCGTAGTCGGTTATGACCTCATTGGAGCGTGCTTGGCACGCGACTCCATCCATTCAATTGTTTCCGTTTCTAAGACCAGCACGTGGCAAAAATGGCCGACTTTAATACTTTTTACATTTTCACTTTGCCCAACTTGATCAGGACAAATCAGACTGACATAATTGTCTTCAGCAGAAGGGAGCCTTTAATTACAAAATGCGATATTCGATTAAGTAAGTTTTCTATAATTGGTCTTTTCGGAAATTTGATCTGGCGAGACTATACAAAAGTCCCGAAGCCTTTGAGGGAGGAGGAGAGATATTTTTTCTAAATCGGCATGAAATTTCTTACAAATTCTGAAATTTTCAAAATTTTTGAGCTGTGCTTACTATTTTTCTAAGAGTTTTGAAAACTTCTTTATGTTTTTCGACCTATTTTCACACGAAGATTGACAAGTTACAAGACATTTTGATGAAACTACTGTAATTAACTGTAATTAACCGTTGTGGGTTCTCTCAAGGTTTCAAGGGTTCAAAAAATCCGTTTTTTCACAAATTAATAAAAGGTAAGCCTTTTTTAAGCTTCTTAAGCTTTTCAAAAGAACAGTAAAAGCCAGTTAGGTCTGAGCAAATGAAAATTGACTGATATACAGGGTGGAACAGGCTACGCGTGCATTAGGAGTTTCTAGAGAACTAGAGATAGTAGATTTTTTGCACATTTTGCTCGTTTCACAACGAGGTCTATCAACTGAAAATATTTTCAATGTGGCGGCACTTCCGGAAATGCCGGAAATTGACAGCAACTTTCTTATTCTAAACGGGAACCCCCATTTTTTATTACCCACTTAAATTCTCTATAAGATTTTATGAATTTTGATATCAAACACACTATATCTAATATTAACCGTTTTTGAGAAAGAAAATCATTAAATTTTTTGGACGAAGAAACTGTATGTCAAAAAATTTGTATGGCCTAAACGTCAAATTTAGTGATTACCTAGCTGTTAGAAGGAAATAAAATGTCTGATTGTTTGAAACTTAATGTCAAAGGAAGCTAGATAAAATCCAGAAAAATATACGTGTTAAAACTAAATCTTACGTAACTTTTTTATCATTATTTTTTCAAAAAAAAAAATTATGATTAACTTAAAAAAATAAAAAGTTCTCAAATTTTTTATTTTAGTCAAATAACTATCTACTCAACCTTTTTATTTTTTGACAATAACGATATGTATTGACTATTTCTACTCTAAATATTTTGAGAACGGTTGCTTTTAGCGATTTTTACCAAGAGACATTTTTTTCGTAAAAAATGACGGAAATATATAGTTTTTCTTCTATACAGGTACGGACCAAAAGTTATTACACTTTAAAACAGTCAAAACGCATGTAGGTGGCGCCCCCTACAAATAGGAGTCATATTGACATCGAAATCAAATTTCTCGTGCAAAAAAACTCCCAGACACCAATTTTCATCCAAATATTGACGTTACTTCAGAAATTATTTGGACAAAATCGTAATAAAAATGAAACTTCTACACCCTGTATCTCCGAAACTAAGCATTTTAGGACATAGATTTATAGGAACTTTTTTACTTCTTTTTATCTGCGGAATATGCTGCCGAAGTTTCCCGAATACACTTCGGACCACCCTGTATAGTAAACAAAGAAATTTCTAATGCACGCTTAGCCTGGGATACCCATCATAGAAGTGCCCGACTTTTAATGCTTCATACATTTGCTCCCCCTTGTCAATGTTAAGGTCATATTTATAATATCGGCAATTTAGAAATATGAAAATGTCATCTCGAACAGTAAAACTGATTTAAAACGGAAAACAATTGTAGCGAATTTGAGAATTTACGGCGCGTGAAGAAGCCAGATGTCGGTCATTCGATTTCTGTTTAGTTTCGATTATGTAGGGCGTTCGCCGTATAATGCGTTGCGTCAAATGACCACTGTCCATCCCGGGCTGACCGCCCTTACACGGCCCATTGGCCCTTAATCGCTCAAGAGTTCTCCATAAGGCTTTTCATAACAAAAACGTGCCCTTAGGACTGTGGCGCGGCTTTGTATCAATTTGTTTTAAGTGCGTGGGCGAGAGAACGAATCTAATGAAATTCGGCAATGCCAGTCCTTGGGCAG